TTTTTTTAATTCTTGACTTTCACTAATGTTTTGAAGTATAAATTATCATATAAAGTTCACCACTCAGTTTGCACGCTAAATATACAACAGAAGCCTTAGATTGGCGGCAAAGTATAAACTATAAGAGTTTTCATCGGTCGTCTACACTGACTTACATTTGAACTACTTTTATTTTTCAATCACGAAAAAAAATTGACCTATTATTATTATCATCATTATGATTATTTTCAGTTTAGTTCAAAATTATTAAACAATTTTACTAAAATAATGAGCAAATCGAAATTCCATTTTATTTTTTTAATTTAATCATTAAATTTATATTTATAATTAAATTTAATAAATTAAATTATTAAATAATTAATAATATAAATAATTTAATTTAATTTACTAAAATAAATAAACAGCATTTTGAGATAAATATTATATAAATGTTTTTTTTTTGTTAAAAAGATTCTATTTAAAAAGTAAAATCTAAAATTTAAAAAGAACAATATATTTTATCTTAAGATAACATTTTTAGATAAATTATATAATCGTTTTTTTTTGTGAAAAAAAATTCTGGTTAAAAAAATAAAATATAAAATTTAAAAAGGACAATAAATTTTATCTTAAAATCTGCAAAATTCTGAAAAGAATAACTTTTTTTCTCTTTAAAGAAAATTTTCTTTTCTCTATTGTTTACAAGTTATTAGTTTTGAAAAATTAATACTTGGGAAAAAAAGTTTGTTCCGACAATTTTGATGGAAAAAATTAAAAAAAAAAAAAAAAGAATTGAATAACGAGAAGATGAAGAGAATGATTTGTTTCCTGTGTGATTAATTTTCACATATAATAGAACACTGATTCTTTGTTTATTAATTAGTTTTCTGTTTATGTGATATAATAATAACATTTAAACTAGGAAATGAAAATTTTTATATACAATATAATTATGTATGGTAATTAAGAGCTTTTTTTTAAATTTAAAAACTTGTTTTGGCAAAAAAAAATTCTTTTAAAGAATAAAACTTTTCTGGCAAAAAAGAAAATTGTTTCTATATGAAAGTAGAAAAATTTGTCTTGTGAACTTTTTCTTTTTTTAGACGAAATTTGTTTTGTCTTTCCAAAACAATAAATAATAATTATTATATTAATTAATAGAATTAATTAATTAAATAATAATTAATTGTTCAGATCAATAATAATTGATCAGAATTAATTGTTCAGATCAATAAAAAATTTGTTCTCGCAATTAATTAATTATTTATTTATTTATTCACAAAAATAAAGAAAAAAAATTTTTCCTACGTAAAGAGACACAAATAAAATAGAGTATAAATAAAGAACTGCCTATATACAATATAATGAATAATAAATAATAACAAACGTTAAAAAGAAATATATCGTGATTATGTGAAAAGTTGACTTTTTTTCCTTCTTCCTGATAAGAGGAACTATTTATGTTTATATATAATGCGCGTAATAACAAATATTGTTCTTGTTCGAGTTTGAAGGTATAGAAAGCTTGGGAACTGTTGTTCGTCAGGAATGTTGATACTCTGACTGAGAACCGTTCGTGAGGAAAAATTCCTTGGTCCAGTTAGGCTTAGGATAAGAAGCGAAGGAGGACAATAAAAGGATACAATCATCCTTGTAACTTGTTATTATCCCCCCTCTCCTCCCACCAGACAAAAAAAGCAAATTAGTTTAAAAAAAAAAAAAAATTTTAACTCCAACTACATATAATAGAAGTGACACTACAAAATTTTTTACTTAATTTTTATTTCTGCATTTTTACTTACAAAGTTATAAAAATAATAATAATCGGTCTAAAAATCGTAATAAAAATAATTTATTCTTTGTTTCTTATTATTTTTATACTTATGTTATTTATTATTATTTAACAACAAAAATAATAAATAAATTATTAATAGATATAATTTATTCATTATTAATTTATTATTTATTTTATATTATTTGTAAATTATCAATTATCGTCTACTATTATTATTATTATTATTATTATTATTATTATTATTTTTTTTTTATTATTATTTAATCAAATTAATTTTTTTTCCAGTGTATTTATTTACAAGTAAATTAAAATAAAGTAATAATAATAAATAATAAATAGAAATAAAATAATAATAAAATAATATTTTACTTCATTGAAATATTTATTCGTAATATTAAATTGATGAATATATAGTAATTGAGAAAAAAATATTTTTTAACAATAGCAGAATATGTAACAATCAACAAATGAAAGTTAAAAGAAGAGGAACTTATTATGTAAAGCAAAAGACAAGTCTTTCACGACTCAATGAATTTAAGCAATTGTATATTATTATTATGAAATCAAAAATTTCATGTTATTATTAACAACGTGTATTTAGATTCTCTTAACGCAAAGAATGTCAAATTTCTGATTTATAAATACTTTTTTTTATAGAGACCTAATCGAAAAATTATAAAAGTTTAATAAATATAGTAAAAATACACTTGATTATTTGAATCAAATAATTTTCGATCAAATAAATTTAATTTTCAAATAAATAGATTTTTAATCAAATAATTTTAAATCAAATAAATTTTGAATCAAATTTTCGATCAAATAAATTTTGAATCAACAAATTTTTGACCAATTAAATTTTGAATCAAAAAATTTTTAACCAAATAAATTTTAAATCAAACAATTTTTGTTCAAATAAATTTTTGAATCAAATAGTTTTCGATCAAATAAATTTTGAATAAAATAATTTTCAATTACATAAATTTTGAATCAAATAATTTTCGATCAAATACATTTTGAATCAAATAATTTTCTATCAAATAAATTTTGAATAAACAAATTTTGAATCAAATAAATTTTGAATCGACAAATTTTCAATTAAATAAATTTTGAATCAAATAATTTTCGATCAAATAAATTTTGAATCAAATAATTTTCGATCAAATAAATTTTGAATCGACAAATTTTGAATCAAATAAATTTTGAATCAAATAATTTTCGATCAAATAATTTTTATTTTAGTCAATTAAATTGTATTTAAAGAATTTGTGTATTTTGAAATAAATGCGATTAAATTGACTCAAATAAAAATTATTTAATTCCAGTAAATATTTATTTGATGATAAACAATTAATCGGGTATTTGAATAAAAATAATTTTTGTTTCAGTGTAAATAGCGATAAAATAATAATAAAATAAAAAATAATATTTAAATAAATAATAAAAATAATTAAATATAAATAAATAAATAAAAAAATATTAAAATTTTGTAAAGAACTAAAACTAATAATACAATTTCAGTGTGAATAGAAAATTTGTCTCTTTTTTCCTCACAAAAAATAATGACTGTTAAGAATATTCATACATTTTTAACAATAAAATTAAAATTTCCAAGTCTTCTTTGAAAATGAACAAAAGAACAAAGGAAAAAAATGTAATATTATGTATAAATATATCCAGTTAGGAATTTAAGTTTCGGGACACTGTGAAAACTAAGAAGCTGGAACGAAAGAGTCAAGTTTATGAACCAAAGTGTATTACAGTGATTATAATAACGGTACACATTGGAAAATGACTGATTGTATTTCAATCTTTGACTAAACTAGCCGTAACCACAAAAACAAAGTAAATCTTCATTTCTTCTTTTTTCTCATTCAATTAAAATATTATTTCTTTTTTCTCTTTAAAATTTCGCACCATTTACACCATTTTATCGACACAATATTTCCGTGTCTTTTATTTACACTTTGTTTATTTTTAATATTATTTTTTATCATTAATATTATTTATCATTGTTATTTTCAGTTTAGTTCAAAATTAGTAAATAGTTTCACTAAAATAATGAACTTTAAATACTGTTTTTTTCTCATTTATTTAATTTAATTAAATTATTTAAAAATTATGTAAATTATAAATAAATAATATTTTTTTTTCATTAAAAAGTAAATTAGTATCTAATAAAAAAATATGAAAATAAATAACGTAAAAATTATTTAGAAAAAATTCTTTTACTTTTCTAAATTTTTGTTAAAAAGATAAAAAGAATTTAATTAAAAAAAAATTATAAATCTTAAAGAAACAAAAGAGAAAAATTGAAGTTTTCGAGAGGAATTGAAGAGAGAATTGTGTGTAAATTATTCGCTAAATTTTTTGTATCTTAAAAGAGGTGTTTAGTTGCGATTACAAATTGTTTTCCATTGTATTTAATTTAATGCAAGCGCACGCGATGATCATCTGACCGCATAAAATTTATTTCTTAAAGGAAATAATTGTTAAAGAAAATTAACAAGAGTGTTTACATTGTGTGTGGGATAATTTCAAAATTGATTACCTAATTAGGTTATAGGAGCTCGCAGCTAATTAATAAATTAAGAGGATTTAATTTATTTCATGGTTCGATAATCATCAAAAAAATAACGAGAGTTTGTGTGCGACAATAATAATTTAATGGAAATTTCGATCAAAATAAGGCAGAAAAAATTTGAATAAATGGAAAGTAGTGAAATGTGACCTTGATCTTCACTTTCGTTCTTCTTTTGCTTATAAATTTAAATATTATATGCGAGCGAATGTTTCATCATTCAATTATGTAAAAAATAATTAGCAATAATTAATTCCTCAATTTCTTCTCGAGAAATGTTTTTTTTCTTCTCGGGAAATATTTTTTTTCCTTTTATTATATATATTACAGTCGTAAGCAAATTTCTTTTGTTCCCTGTCGTTGAAGATTTCCTTACGATAGCAATAATTGTACAGAATTTATATAATGTGATTGTAAATTTTTTTGCGATATCGAATTTTTTATTTTATTTGCTTTTATTTTTTTATTTCTTCTTTACTTTTTTGTTTTTCTATTTTCTGTTTTTTTATTTTTTCCCTTTTTATTTTGTCTTTAGTTTATTTGAAATATTTTTTTTAATCATTTGCAATTTAATAAAAGGTCATAATAATAATTATAATAATATGATTTTTTATATAAAATAATAATTCTCTTGATTTTTGTTTGCAGGATGCAAAAGTATGGGTACCACATCCAGAGAAGATTTGGGAGGGAGCGATACTTTTGGATAATTATAATTCGGAAAAGAAGACACTTGAATTACGCACAGATGATTCGAAGCAAACAAAGATAATAGAGATAAAGAATGACACGGATCTGCCGCCATTGAGAAATCCTGATATTCTTTTGGGTGAAAATAATCTCACTTCGCTTTCATTTCTTCATGAGCCCGCTGTTCTTTACAATTTACAAATTCGCTTTCAAAGGCATTGCATTTACACGTATTGTGGAATTGTTCTCGTTGCATTTAATCCGTACAATGAATTGCCCATCTATGGTAATGACACAATTTGGGCGTATCGAGGTCAAGCCATGGGCGACCTCGAACCCCATATATTCGCCGTTGCCGAGGAAGCTTACACGAAACTGGAAAGGTAATTTTTGATTTTTTTTTTGTTTTTGTTTTAATTTAATGCAAAATTTTGAATTTGCATAATTTTCATGAAATTTGTTTCTATAAATTCAATTATTTTTAATGCAGTTTAAATTAAATTTCTCGAAAGAATACAATTATTTTTAAAAATATTATTTAAATTCAATTATTTTCAAGAGTTTTAATAAAAATTCAATTATTTTAAAGAATTCTAAAAAAAATCTTTCCAAGAATTAAATTATTTTCAATACAGTTTTAATTACATTTTTTCGAAAGAATTCAATTATTTGAAAAAATATTGATACAATTCTTGAATTGAATTCAATTATATTCAAATTTTTTTATAAATACTTTACAAGAATTCAATGATTTTCAGTGCATCGAAAATTTAATTATTTCTGAAAATAATTGAATTCTTGAATAGAATTTTATTAAAACTTTTTTAAATAAATGAATCCCTGTGAAAAAATTTATTATTTCTGCAAATAATTGAACTTTTGGCCAAATTTTAAAAAATAAGTGAATTTTGGAAAAGAATTTTATTAAAAATGTATTTAAAATAATTGAATTCATGGGAAAAATTTACTATTTATTGATATAATTGAATTCTTACGAAGAATTTAAAAAAAATTTTTAAAAACAATTTAATTTTCCCTGGAATTCAATTAAAATTGTATTGAAAATAAGTGAAATCCTGATAAGAATTTTATTATTTTATAAAAATAATTGAATTTTTTACGAAGATTTTTATTATTTATAAATTGACTTTTTGCAAAGAATTTTATTACGATTATTGAAAATAATAAATTCTTCATAAAATATTCAATTACTTTTAAAATTTTCAGTAAAAATTATTTTTAAAAAACTCCACTGTTTTCAAGAATATTGAAATAAATTCTTAAAAACAATTCAATTATTTTAAAGAATTTTAATAAAAATCTTGCCAAGAATGAAATTATTGAAAAAAGTGTTGAAATGAATTCAATTATTTTCAAATTTTTTTATAAATACTTTACAAGAATTCATTGATTTTCATTAAATTAATTTAAAAATTTTAAACATTTAAAAAGAAAAATTATTTAAAAAGTTAAGAAACAAAAAAGCAAACAGCAACTAACTTCAAACTGCGAACAGATTACCGGAATAAAACGGTTATTAATATACCTATGTAGATTATTTTCACGAATAATGAAATTCTTCGATGAAATTAAATTACTTTCGATATCTATTATTAGAATTAAATTTTTCAAAAGAATTCAATTCAATTATTTAAAAAATTTCAATAAAATTCATTGCAAAAATTCTATTATTTTTGTAAATAATAAAATTTTCACGCTAGACTTGAATTATTTTATTTACAATTTTCATACATTTTTTTTGAAAGAAATCAATTATTTAAAATTTTTCGAAATAAATTACTTAATTATTTTTAAAAATTTGATAAAACTTGTTTAAAAGAATTTATTGTAATTATTATATAATGTACAACAATTCAATTATTTTCTATGCATCTTTTTTTGATAATTCCTCGAAAGAATTTAATTATTTTCATAAATATTAAAACTTGTCGCCAAAATTCAAGTCTTCTAAAGAATTTTTATAAATTATGAAAATAATTCAATTCTTGCGACGAATTTTATTAAAATTCTTGAAAATAATTGAATTGTTTCAAAGAATTTTATTAAAAGATTTGAAAATAATTCAATTCTTTAAAGCAATCTAATAAAAATTGTACTGGAATTAATTCAGTTCTTATATAAAATTTTATAAAAATATTTGAAAATAATTGAACTCCTTAAAGGATTTTCAAAATTTTTTAAATAATTGAATCTATCAAAAGAAACTTTAATAAAATTGTATAGAAAATAATTTAATTCTTCCGAAGAATTTTTTACATTCAATTATTTTCAATTCAATTTTTATTGATAATTTCTCGAAGGAATTTAGTTATTTACACAAATAGTAAAATTCATAACAAAAATTCAATTATTTTAATAAATAATAAAATTCTATGCAGAATTTAAATTACTTTCAATACAATTTCAATTATTTTTGTTCGAAAATTCAATTATTTTTACAAATTTTTATTAAAATCCTTCGAAACAATTCAATTAGTTTAAAAAATTTTTATAAAATTCTTTAAGAAAATTCAATTTTATAAATAATTAATTATTCTATTAATTATTTATTTTTGTACTTAAATAATTGAAATCTCGAATAATTTTCAAATAATAATTGATATAAAAATGAATTTCAGTTAAAATTTTAGAACATAATTAAATATTAGAAACGAATAACGAATTTTTATAAATAAGTTTACAAGGGGTTTTTAGATTGAAATTTTGGAAAATTTTAATTCCTGTAAAATTGTAATATTATTTAAATATTTATTCTAAACAGTGATTGATTTATTATTATCCTAAAAAATTACTAGAGTTTGGAATAATTTTATTTGAAAATTTGAAAAAAAAATTGAATTTTGGAAGAGTTGCAAAGCTTGTATTGTTTATTTATTCTGAATTAGTTTATTTACTTTAGTTTTTTGTATTTTAATTTGTGTATTTAATGTTTCATAACTAAATCCTGAATTTTAAATTAAATTTTCGTATTTAAGTAAATATTTTGCATTTAGTAGTGGTGGTTTAATTTTTAATTGCACAAAGAATAGCAATCGATGGTTAGAGATGAGAGGAGTTTGAAAAAAAGGCTTCGTAGAACTCAATAACTAGAATTAAGGCAGGGGCTTCTTCCTCCAAACACTTTGTAAAAGTATAAGTTTATTTTTGCATGAGAAGTTCTTCTCTTATTTGGAAATTAATTATTTTTATTTTGTTTACATCTTTCCTTTTTTTCTTGTTTCGTTGCAGAGAAAGTCACGATCAATCAATTATCGTTAGCGGTGAATCGGGAGCTGGTAAAACTGTCTCGGCAAAATATGCGATGCGTTATTTTGCCACTGTTGGTGGTTCATCGACGGAAACACAGGTGGAAAAAAAGGTACTTTCCTCATCGCCAATAATGGAAGCAATTGGCAATGCTAAAACAACGAGGAACGATAATTCATCGAGATTTGGCAAATTCATTGAAATTCAATTTAATAAAAATTATCATATTATTGGCGCCAGTATGAGAACATATTTATTGGAAAAATCGAGAGTTGTTTTTCAAGTAAGGAACAATTTTCTTAATAATTTAATTTCTATTTGATGTGGATAAAAATTAATTGTTTGGATTAATAATTTTAATTTAAGGCGGGAGGAGAGAGGAACTATCACATATTTTACCAAATGTGCTCAGCAATGAAGAAATTACCGCATTTGCATTTAGATTTTCAAGACAAATTTCATTATTTAAATCAGGGAAATGATCCGATTATCGATGGTGTCGATGATTTGGTTTATTTCGAAGAAACTGTGAATGCATTCACGATGATTGGATTCACTTACAAGCAGCAGGATGATATGTTTCGAATTTTAGCTGCCATACTTCATTTAGGAAATATTCGTTTTACAAATTCCGATTCTCAGGGAGGTAATGACTCCGAAGGAAGCAATATATCCGTACGTTAATTCCTCTCAAAGCAATTTACGAATCGTTAATTAAATTCAAAAAGAATAATTTTTACACTCTTCTCTATTAACTTCTTCAATATTTAATTTTAATTAAAAGCCCCTTCTTTAATATTCGATTTTTAATTTAATTCTATTACTTTCTTTCATATTTAATTTCAATTTAATTCTATTTCTTTAATATTAAATTCTAATTTAATTCTATTACTTTTTTTAATATTCAATTTCAATTTAATTCTATTACCTTCCTCAATATTTAATTTCAATTTAATTCTCTTACTTTTTTAATATTTAATTTAGATTGATGTTAATTTAATTTAATTTAAGAGAAACTAATTCAGTTTCTGTCTTCTTTTTTTGCAGGCAAAGGATAAGAATCTTCTGATTATCTCCGAATTATTGGGCATCGATGTAAATGCCATGAGAAAATGGTTGTGTCATAGGAAAATTGTGTCAATGAAGGAAGTATTTTTGAAGCCAATGACGGTCGATGAGGCAAATGGTGCACGTGATGCATTAGCGAAACACATTTATGCCGAGCTTTTCAATTGGATTGTTTCGGGAATTAATAATTCATTGCAAGCACAGACAAAAAGTCAATCGTTCATTGGCGTATTAGATATTTATGGTTTCGAAACATTTGAAATAAATTCGTTTGAACAATTTTGCATTAATTATGCGAATGAAAAACTTCAACAGCAATTTAATCAACATGTCTTTAAATTAGAACAAGAGGAATATCTCAAGGAAGAAATTGAATGGACATTCATTGATTTTTATGACAATCAACCCTGTATTGATCTCATTGAAACAAAATTAGGAATTTTGGATTTACTCGATGAAGAGTGTCGTGTACGTTTGTAATATTTTACTTTTTTGCTCTTTATTTAACACTTAAACTATATTTAACACTTAAATAAAATATTTATTTAACTCTTAAATAAAATATTCATTTAACCCTTAAATAAAGTATTTGTTAAGCATTTAAAATTAAATTTAACACTAAAATTTGTTTAACTGTATATAATTTAATTGTCATTTATTTTTATTATTGCTACAGATGCCGAAGGGAACAGATAGTTCGTGGGCGGAGAAACTCTACACAAAATGTGGAAAATCGAAGCATTTCGGAAAGCCGAGATTTGGAACTTCGGCATTTTTGATACATCATTTTGCAGATCGGGTACAATACGAAGCTGTGGGATTTTTGGAAAAAAATCGCGACACGGTCATTGAAGAGCAAATCGATATTTTAAGATCGAGTCAAGTAAGAAATTTTTAATTAGTTTTTTGTGTCAATAGAAAAATTGGATTATTTAATTATATTAATTATATTAAATTATATTTCAATTAAGATTCAATTTTCGATTTTAAATACACAATTTTAAAAAATTAAATTCCTCTTTTTATTTATTTTTCATACATTTGATTGCTTTTTTATATTTGACACAAAATAAATTGAATCAGTATTTAATTTTAGTATTTATTTTATTTCTAGAATAAATTACTGAAAAAACTTTTCTCTGAAGAAGATCCAAAATTGACTGTTCCTAACGCAAGAATTAAAGTTTCTGCACAGAAAACAAGTAGTAGTAGTGCACCAAAACAACATAAAAAGACTGTGAGTATTATTATTATTTTCCATAATTTTGTGATAATAAGTGGATTTTTTTTTAATTTTAAAAAATGATATTTTTGTTCAAAAAATTTTATCTCAATTTTTTTTTAACTTTTTTAATTTGGAATCTAAAATAGTTAAATTCTTGCAAAGAATATTATTAAAATTTTTAAGTAAAATTGAATTGATTCGGAGAATTTTAATAAAAAATTGAAAATAATTAAATTCTTCTAAACAATTTTATCAAAATTTTTAATAACTGAATTCTTTGAAGGGATTTTATTAAAAGTTTTTAAAATAATTGAATACTGTCAAATGAAATTCTATTAAAATTCGATAGAAAATAATGTCATCCTTCCGAAAAATTTTATAATTTATAAAAATAATTTAATTTTTGCATTGAATTTTACTAAAATTTTTGAAAATAATTAAATTGATTCGAAGAATTTTATTAAAAACTTTTGAAAATAATTACATGCTTTCAACGAATTTAATAAAAATTGTACTGAATTTAATTGAATTCTGTTAAAGAATATTATCAAAATTTCCTAGAATAATCGAATTCTTTCAAAGAATTTTATTAAAATTTTCTAAAATAATAATTGAATTGTTTCGGATAATTTTAATGAAATTTAAAAAAATAATTGAATTCTTGACAAGAATTTTATTTAATTTAAAATTTTTGAATTGTCCAAATTTTTATTCAATTGAAACGAATGATGAATGAAATAATGAATATAATTGAATTGTTCGAGGAAAATTATAATTCTTCCGAGAAATTTAGTTAAAATTGTATTGAAAATAATAATTAAATTCAGGTGAAGAATTATAGTATTTATGAAAATAATTCAATTTTTACGAAGAATTTTATTATTAATGAAAATAATTGAATTCTTTCGAAGAAGTTTATTGCAATTTTCGAAAGTAATTGAATATTTTCAAACAATTTCATTAATATTCTCGAAAATAATATAAGTAATAATAAGTAATCAGTTAATAAGTGAATTTTTGAAAAATTTGAATCTGAAATCATTTAAAACTTTAAGTTTATATTTGCTAATAATTTGCTAGTTAAATATACATTATAAAAGAGATATTAATATTAATAATATAAAATAAAAATTTTAAAAGCAAAATAATTAAAATAAATTATAATAATTAATATACAATAAAAATATTTCAGGTGGGATCTCAATTTCGAGATTCGCTGAATATGTTAATGTCGACATTAAATGCGACGACACCTCACTACGTTCGATGTATCAAACCCAATGACACAAAAGAATCCTTCGAGTACAATCCAATTCGTGCGGTGCAACAACTTCGAGCCTGCGGTGTTCTGGAGACAATAAGAATATCAGCGGCTGGTTTTCCCAGTCAACGGACGTACGCCGATTTTTTCCATCGCTTTCGATCTCTCTGTAAATTCAAGGAAATCAAACGCGATGATCTTCGTGAGACGTGTCGTCGTATTCTTGCAACCTACATTAAGGACGAGGACAAATTTAAATTCGGCAAGACAAAAGTATTGTTTCGCGCCGGACAAGTGGCCTATTTGGAGAAACTTCGCGCGGATCGTCAACGTGACGCATGTATAATGATGCAAAAAACCGTTCGCGGTTTTATTTGCCGCAGTCGTTATCGTAGAATTCGCAAATCAATTTTGGGTCTACAGAGACATGCGCGCGGTTATTTGGCGCGACGAAAAGCCCAAAAAATACGCGAGCAAAGAGCTGCGGTGAAAATTCAGGCACGAGTGAGAGGCTGGCTGGTGAGAAAGAGATTTATTAATTTGAGACGAGTTGTTCTTGGTCTTCAGACATATGGACGTGGTGCTATGGCGAGAAGGAGATTCCGTTTGATGAAGGACAATGCGGCGGCGATTGTTATTCAGAGATTTGTCCGCGGTTATCTCGTGAGAAAACGTTGCAGAAGGAAGCTCTATAATATTATTTTAGTTCAGTCTTGTGTGAGGAAGTTCCTCGCCAGGCGAGTTTTCCGCAAATTGAAAGCCGAGGCAAGAAGCGTTGAACATGTCAAATCACTGAACAAGGGTCTGGAAATGAAGATCATTTCCCTTCAGCACAAGATCACCGAATTGGTGAGTTAACACTAAAAAGAAATAATCTATATTAAGAATCGTTGTATTCCGGTAATCTGTTCGAAGTTTAAAGTTAGTTGTTGTTTCTTAACTTTTTTAATAATTTTTCTTTCCAAATATTTTCAATTAAAAAAAAAAAAAATTTAATTCAATTAAAATTAAAAAAATTCTAATTAAATTCTTTTGAAGAATTTCTTTGAATTTTTTTTAAATAACGAAGTTTCGTTAATAATTTTAATTGAAAATTTTGAAAGTAATTTAATTTTATGAACAATTTCTTTCAAGTTTTTAAAATAATTGTGTTTCTTAATAATTGAAATTTAACATCTAATTACTGAATTTTTTAAAAATTTATAGAAAATAATTAAATTCTTCTCAGAATTTTATTACAATTTTCTAAAATAATTTAATTGATTTAAGGAATTTTATTAAAATATAGAAAATAATTAAATTCTTTCAAAGAATAGATAATATTAAAGGTTTTTTTTAAGTTTTTGTAATTAATTACATTCTTTTGAAGAATTTCTTTGTGTTTTTTTAAATAATGTAGTTTTTTTGAATAATTTCAATTGAAAAATTTGAAAATAATTGAATTAAACAAAGAATTTTTTCAAAATAATTTTTGCGATTAATTTTACTTGGAAAGAATTTCTTGACAAGAATTTATTTCAAATTTTTGAAAATAATTGAAAATTTGTAAAGAATTCAATTATTTATGAAAAAAATTGAATTCTTGACAAGAATTTGTTTCAAATTTTTAAAAATAATTGAAATTTTGTAAAGAATTCAATTATTTATGAAAAAAATTGAATTCTTGATAAGAATTTATTTCAAATTTTTGAAAATAATTGAAAATTTGTAAAGAATTCAATTATTTATGAAAAAAATTGAATTCTTGACAAGAATTTGTTTCAAATTTTTGAAAATAATTGAAATTTTGTAAAGAATTCAATTATTTATGAAAAAAATTGAATTCTTGACAAGAATTTATTTCAAATTTTTGAAAATAATTGAAAATTTGTAAAGTATTCAATTATTTATGAAAAAAAATTAAATTCTTGACAAGAATTTGTTTCAACTTTTTGAATATAATTAAAATCCTCAGAAGAATTTTATTATTAATGAAAATAATTGAAATCTTCCAAAGAATTTTATTTTTTATGATGCTAATTGAATTCTTGCAAAGAATGTTATTAAAATTTTTGAAAATAATTTAAATCCACGGAAGAATTTTATTATTTAAGAAAATAATTGAAATCTTTCAAAGAATTTTATTTTTGATGATGATTATTGAATTTTTAGGAAGAATTTTATTAAAAATTTTGGACATATGTAATTGAAATTCTTTGAAAAATTGTATTATTTATGAAAATAATTGAAATCTTGCAAAGAATGATTGAAGATTGAAGAAAAAAATTGAATTCTTTCGTGAAATTTTATTGATAATAATTGAATTTTTGCAAAGATTTTACTATTTTAAAAAACAATTGTATTGTTTTGAACGTTTTATTACAATTTTGTTGAAAATAATTGAATGTTTGCAAAAATTTTTATTATTTACAAAATTAACTGAATTGTTCTGAAGAATGTTATTATTTATGAAAATAATTGAATTCTTCCAAAGAATTGTATTCAAATTTTTGAAAATATAAACAATAATAATTAATTATTTACTCAATAAGTGAAATTTTAAAATTTTGATTATGAAATTATTGGAAAATTTGTATTTAAAAATAAAAAATTTTGTTATCTGCTTAATGTTAATATTATTTCATTTGCTTGATTCTTAATTTTTTTCCCCCAGACGAAGGAGAATCAACATTTGAAAACAGCGCAGAATGAAGTTGTGGATTTGAAATCGAAACTCGAGGGACTGAAGACTATAGAGATTGAGAATAAAAAACTAAATGGCGTCGTTGCTGAAAAAGAGAAGGAAGTCATTAAAATGAAGGAGGCTGTCGAGAAGGAAAGGGACGAGAAAATGGACTTGCTGCAAGTACGTAAAAGTTTGGATTAATTATTAATTGGTTTAATTAATTTGTTTAATTAATTGAAAATAAAATTTTCTATTAAATTAAAAATTAAATAAACATTTAGTTTATTGAATTAAATTTTGAAAATTTATTCCTTTAATAGGAGAAGGAGAAGATTATGAATCTGAAGAATGAAGAGAATAAAAGACTTGTAGAGGAAAATGAGAAATTGATGAAGGAGAACGCGTCAGCTAATGAGAAATTGAAAACAAATCTTCGCGGGGCAGAGGAAATTCTTAAAAGTCGATTGGAGCAGGAGAAGGATCTTCTCTTGCACGAACAAGATCAGGATCGAAATGCCTATCAGAAATTGCTCAAGGAATATCACGATATGGAGCAGCAGGTTGAATATCTTCAACAGAAATTGGCTGTTCCTGGTCATTCGCGATCGTTAAGCAATGCCTCGAGTGGAAGCGGGCACATCACGTCCACTGATCTTCCGCCCGATGATCATAATATTGTAAATATTTTTTAACTTCTAAATCTATTTTATAGAATTTTTGTTTATATTTCTTTTTTCTGAAACAATTTTCTAATTTTTTTTATAGTTTACCTTCTAAATCTGTTTTCTAAACTTTTTGATATAGTTTTCCTTCTAAATCTATTTTCTTAATTATTCACTAGCTATTCGTAACGATTAATAAATTATTTTGAATGACAGGATTTCGGCTATGGTTCAGTGAAATCTACGGGATCTTCGAACACGCCATATTCGAGGGTTGAGAACATCGATTGGCATCAACAACGAACGGAGAGTCCACCGGATGGTGAGATTAATGTTTCGAAATCGCCGCTAGAGAGAAATGGTCCACCGCATGGTCCAGTGGATGTTGGACTTGTGCTGAAACTTCAGCAAAAACTAAGGGATGTAGAAAAGGAGAATGGCAGATTAATTAGAATGGTCGAGGATTTAGAACGTGAAAGTTCCGAGGAAACCACGAGAGCTCAAGATACTTTTAAGGTACGAATAGATGATAATAAAATAAAAAAATAAAAAAAAATAAAAATAAAAATAGAAGACATTAGAAATAATTTAGAAAATAGAAATAAAAAACAATAGAAATAATTTATACAGTAAAAATAAATAATAGAAATAATAACAAAATATTCCAAGTTCAATAAGAATTTTATTTATTTATTTATTTTTTGGAATTGAAAAAAATTCCTTTTTTAGAAGGAATTTTTACAAAAAATACAGAAAGAAATACATTTTAAATTCTTGTTTTCAGTTGCAAGAACTCGAAATGGAGAATGAGAAGCTAAAGAAAGATTTGGGATCGTTGCAAAAATCGGTCTTGGATAAAGATCCTGTTAATGCACAGAATAAACTAATGGGTAATTTTTTTTTGTACTATAAAATTTGAAAATGCTAAAGAAAGAAAAATTAAAGAAAGAAAGAAAATTACAAGAATGAAAGAAAATTATAAGAAAAAAAGAGAGAAAGAAGGAAAGAAAAAATTCTTTCTCTAGTAAATTTACAGAAAAAAAAGAAGAGAAAAAAAATACTTTTTTCCACACGTCAAAAGAGGGAAATACCCTTTAATTCAAAATTTGTAAACAAAAGTTTTATTATCGATTCCAGAGATAGGGACGTAATTGAGAAAATGTAAATAGTCTTAATAATAATGCCGATTTGAAACGATAAATATAAATAGGAGTAAAATTTTAATTAACTTGACAGAATAATTTATTTTAATTCTTTTTTTTTTTAAATTATTTAACAAAATGTGTAATTTCTCATTTATGAAAATTAGTACTAGCTTAAAAAAATGTTGGTTGCAGGCTTTATTTTTTGGAACAAAAGAGAATTATACGCCCGGTAGTATATACAATAATTTTAAAAAAAAATTTTTAATACATCTGGAAAATTAGTAAATTACAATAATTTTAGAATTAAACGATAACAAAATTAATGAAGTTAAATAACAATGATATTGAAATAAAATAACAGTAATGATAATTATAATTCTTATAATAATAGTGATAATAATAACAATAATTTTTTTATATTACAAAGAACAATTCGAAGCTCTTCGAGAAGAATTGGGAAGGAGAAGGGAAGAATGTGTTCAACTTCGCACTGTTTTGGCTGAGAATACACAACGAATGAAGAGTCTTGGATCTAATTATGGACGAGATGTTGATATTGTTAATGAAGACGGTGAATTAATATTGGCATTTGAGGCGCAAAAGAAGATTAATAGGTGAGTATTTTCTTTCACTTTTATTCAAAAGTATTTTATTTATTTTATTACTTCCTCATAGAGGAAGTATTTACTTTATTTTATTTATTCAACTATTTTATAGTTTATTTAACTTTGAAATTAATTTATAGTAACTTTGAAAATCTTATTGAAACAGAAACTGTTTTTATGTTAAATACATAAATTATTTAGATTTGAAAATAATTGTAAATCTTAAATTATTTTTGAAAATCAATTTACTAATTTTTTTGTGTTTCTTATTTTTAAAAGACAATTGGAAGATGAACTTCAGGACAAAGAGAAGGGCTGGCGTGAACAACGAAAAGAATGGCTGGCGGAAATTGATCGACTGCAAGAAGAAATACAGAGGCAGCAAAAATTGTTGAACGTCAATTTGAGTAAAGCACCACAAACGCAAACTGAAGCTTATTTGCAGCATGAAGTCACACGAATAACCGCAGAAAACTTGGTAAGTGCTGATATTGTTTAAAAAAGAAATATTTTTCCATACAAAAAAATGCCTCTATTTCTTTTCTCGTTTTTGTTAATTATTTTAACTCGTTCATTTTTTTTCCTCAGGATCTTCAAGAGAAATATGACAAAATGTCCGAGGAATGTCGAAATTTGAAGAAGAAATGCAAGATTCTCGCTAAACGTCTCAAAGAAGCTGGCTGTAAGTTTAAACAATTTTTGTCTACTACCAAAAAAAGGGTAAATTTATTTTTCCAAAGTTTTGAATTTTCAAAAAAAGAAAAGTAATTAAGATTCAAACATTTTTTAGTTAAGAATTCATTTTTTCTATATATGAAATTTTTTTTTTTTTGGAGAAAAATAAAAACTAAAAGTTATAAAAGAATATTGTCGTTTATTTGAACAATCGAAACTTTAGAAACATTAAATTTTATTTATTTATTTATAAACATTCAATGATTGCTTGAATGTTGTACTAAAAATTTAAAAATAAATTGTAATGCTCACAAAGACGAGGGATCTGACGTTAAGGAAAGTAGGGATCGTTCTTTCGTTTATAAAGGACTTGGTGAGTGGTCACGAGACGTAAAATCACTCCCCTTATCATATTTCATTAAATTTCCTAAACTGAAATCTTTTTATTCCTCTGTAATTCGAAAAAATATGACCACAATTCATGAATCATTTGACACTACATCGAAAATAATATAAACATAAATTGTATTAGATTAACAGTAATTATCATTTTGTTTTAGTATTATTTATTTCTATTTATTTTCGAATATTAATTAGTACTTATTTCATTTTAGTATTCTTTATTAATATTTATTATTTAAATATTTTATTATTTATTATTTATATTATTTCGAATTATTAGTTAGCAATTATTTTATTTTAGTATTATTATTTATTTTCGATTATTGAATAGCAATTTTTTTATTATTATTATTTATTTCGATTATTAATTAGCAATTATTTTATTTTAATGTTATTTATTATTATTTATTATTATTATTTATTTTCGTTTATTAATTCGTAAGTTTTGAATTTTCCAGTACCGGACAGCGTGGAATTAACAAACGATCCTGCCACGAATAATCACTCTTCTGCGGATAGTGGAAGTAACATGCCTGCGATTCGCAAGAAAGAACGAGATTACGAAGGAATGCTCGAATTTAAGAAGGAAGATATAGGAGTGATCATTCGACATCTCATTATCGGTAATTTTTCAATTCATTTATTTATTCAATTCAATTTATATTCAATTATATCAATAAAAGTAGTAAGTAACTTCTCAAAAATTCACTTATTTTTTAAAATTTTGCAAAAATTCAATTATTTGTAGAAATAATAAATTTTTTCGCAAGGATTCAATTATTTAAAAAAGTTTTAATAAAATTCTATTCAAGAATTCAATTATTTTCAGAAATGATTAAATTTTCGATGTACTGAAAATTATTGAATTCTCTTAAATTATTTATAAAAAAATTTGAAAATAATTGAATTAAATTCTTTTGAGAAAATGTAATTAAAATTATTGTATTGAAAATAATTTAATTCTTGTCAAGATTTTTATTAAAATTCTTTAAAATAATTAAATTGTTTTGAAGAATTTATTTCAATTCTTTTGGAAATAAAGGGGTTTTTTTTATATAATTTTTACTGAAAATTTTGAAAGTAATTGAATTTTATGAAGATTTTCTTTCAAGTTTTTAAAATAATCGTGTTTATTATTAATTGTAATTAACGATTTTCCTATTAAATTATATTAAAATTTTTTATAGAAAATTAAATTCTTTTAAACAATTTTATTAGAGTTTTTGTAAATAGGTTACATTTTTTTTTGAAGAATTTCATTAAATTTCGTAAAGATAATGTCATTTTTTAAAGTAATTTTAATTGAAAATTTTGAAAATAATAGAAATTAACAAAGGATTTTATTAAAAACTTTTGAGAACAATTGAATTGTATAGAGAAATTTTATTACAATTTTTAAAAAATAATTGAACCTGTTAGAGAAATTATATTAAAATTATCTTAAATATAATTGAATTTTTTCCCAGAAATTTAATTAAAATTGTATTGAGAATAATTGAATTTTTGAGAAGAATTTGATTATTTAAAAAAATAATTGAATTCTTGCCAAGAATTTTACAATTTATAAAAATAAATGAATTTTTCAAAGAATTTCTTATTAGAATTATTGAATATAATTGAATTTTTATTAATACTCTTGAAAATAATTGAATTCCTCCGAAACATTTTATTACTATATGAAAATAATTGAATTTCTTTGTAAAACTTTATTATTTAAATAAAAATAATTTAATTTTTGCGAAGAATTTTTTTATTTAAAAAAATAATTAAATTCTTGTAGAGGATTTTATAATTCATAAAAATAATTAAACTGTTTCGAAGGATTTTATCTGAATTTCTGAAAATAGTAGAATTTTTTGAAGGAATTTTACTAAATATTTTGAAAATAATAATTTTTGAAAAAAATTTTCATCAAAATTGTTGAAAATAATTGAATTTATATTCAAATTCTTGAAAATAATCAAATTTAATTAATATGTTTAAAAATAATTGTATTCTTTCGAGAAATTTTATTAAAATTGTATTGAAAATAATTGAATTGCTTTAAAAATTTTATTATTTATAAGAAAAATGAAATTCTTCCGAGAAATTTTATAAAAAGTTTTGAATAGTAATAAACATGAATATTTAATATTATGTATGTACTTAATGAGTGAATTCTTTAAATTTTGAATTTGTAATCATTTAAAAATTAATGTTTATTCTTGAAAATATAAAATTTTTTAATTTACAAAATAATAATTTATAATAAAAGTATATATAATAATATATATATAAAAGTAAATTTAATCAGTTGCAGAGAAAATTTAAATCTAGTTTTAAAAAGTATTCTTAAAAATTAGAGTTTCTGGTTAAAATATTTATTTAGAATGATATTTATTCAGAAGAAAAATATTATATTCTCTTAAAAAAATGAAAAAACTCTTAAATTTCAGACCTGAAACCAAGAATCTCAGTGACTTTACTTCCCGGTCTTCCGGCGTACATTCTCTTCATGTGCATAAGACACACGGATTGTGTAAATGACGACGATAAAGTGAGATCATTATTAACTGGCTATTTAAATGCCGTGAAAAAGGTGATTAAGAAACGTGAGGATTTTGATTCGAGTGTTTTATGGCTGAGCAATACACTTCGATTATTGCACAATATGAAACAATACTCGGGAGATAAACCATTTCAATTGGAGAATACACCGCGTCAAAATGAACAGTGTCTGAGAAATTTTGATCTCAGTGAATATCGTGTTGTACTGAGTAATGTTGCACTTTGGATATTCAATAATATTGTCAATAATCTTAAGGATCGAATTCAAGCCCTAACTGTTCCCGCTCTTCTGGAGCATGAGGCAATTGCCGGTTTGGATTCAAATAAACCCGGTCGAGCAAGATCATCGTCAATGGGCGAGGAGCCCGGACCAACGCAACAAATGCTTGAGAAATTACTCGATGAACTCAGCTCTGTGAATAAAACACTTCAATATCATGGTGTTGATAATGAAATTATCGTTCAATTATTTAAACAACTTTTCTATTTTATGTGCGCAAGTGCTCTGAACAATTTACTTTTGAGAAATGAATTGTGCCATTGGACCAAGGGAATGCAAATCAGGTTCGGAAACTAAAAAAATGTTTTATAATAAAATTTAGTGACTAAATTCATTACATTTAGTAACTAAATTAAATTTAGTTTCTACATTAATTGAATTTAGTGTCTAAATTAATTAAATTTAGTGACTGAATTAATTAAATTTAGTGACTAAATTAATTAAATTTAGTCTTACTTTATTCATTTAATTTTTAATTTAAATTTAAATTTTCAGATACAATATGAGTCATTTGGAGCAATGGGCGAGAGATCAGCAACTCGTCCCAGCTTCCGAAGCTTTGCAGCCGATAGTTCAGGCAGCGCAGTTATTACAGGCGAGAAAACGAGATGAAGATGTTGATTCCGTGTGCGATATGTGCAATAAACTGACCGCTAATCAAATTGTCAAAATATTAAATCTCTACACGCCGGCGGATGAATTTGAGACGCGAGTCCCGGTTTCTTTCATCAAGAAGGTCCAGGAGAAACTTACGGAACGCAACGAAAATACCGAACAAGTAATTTTTGAATTTTCTACAAAAAAACACATTTTCCTACAATTCGATTTCATTTTTTGGTTTTTTATATAATAAAAAACAATTCTTTTGATGAATTTCTTTAAATTTTTTTTTAAATAATGGAGTTTTATTAATGATTTTAATTAGAAATTTTTAAAGTAATTAAATTTTATGAAGAATTTTTGTTAAGTTTGTAAAGGAATCGCATTTATTAATAATTGAAATAAAAAATAATTAATTATTGAATTTTAATTAAGTTTTAAAAAAAAATTAAATTCTTTTGAGAATTTCATTACAATTTTTTAAAATAATGTAATTCATTCAAGGAATTTTATTAAAATATAGAAATTAATTAAATTCTTTCAAAAAATTTCTTTAATTTATTGAATATAATCGATTTTGTTAATAATTGTAATTAATAATTTCACTATTAAAATTTTTGATACAACGTTAAACATTTTTAAACATTTTTAAACAATTTTATTTGTTTTTGTAAATAATTAAATTCTTTTGAAAAATTTTTTAATGTTTTTTTTAAAATAGTACAGTTTTTTTTGAATAATTTTAATCGAAAATTTGGAAAATAATTGAATTAAACAAAGAATTTTTTTCAACTTTTTAAAATAATAGTGTCTATTAATAATTGTTATTAAATATTTGATTATTGAAGTTTATTAAAATTGTATTAAAAATTTTAAAAAAATTGAATTGCTTCGATGGATTTAATATTAAAATTTTAGAAAATATTTGAATTTCTTTGAAAAATATTATTGAAAATTAAACAAAAAATGGAATTCTTTTCGAAATTTTGTTGAAAATAATTGAATTGTTTTGAAGGATTTATAAAAATTTTAGAAAATAATTGAAATTTTCGAAGGATTTATTATAATTTTAGAAAATAATAGAATTCTTTTAGAAATTTTTAAAGCGAATTAAGAAAATATTGAATTCTTTTGTGAAATTTTATTGAAAATAATTGAATTTGTTTTGAAGGATTTATAAAAATTTTAGAAAATAATTGAATTGTTTTAAAGGATTTATAAAAATTTTAGAGAATAATTGAAATTTTATCAAAATTTTGTTGAAAATAATTGAATTTTTGCAAAGAATTTTATTATTTATAAAAGTAATTGAATTTTCCCAAAGGATTTATTATTATTTTAGAAAATAATTGAATTCTTTTAGAAATTTTTAAAACGAATTAAGAAAAAAATTGAAATCTTCCTTGAAATTTTATTGAAAATAATGAGTCATTGCAAAGATTTTACTATTTAAAGAAATAATTAAATTATTTTGAAGGATTTATGAGAATTTTAGAAAATAATTGAATAATTAAAATTTTCGAAGGATTTATTATAATTTTAGAAAATAATTGAATTCTTTTGGAAATTTTATTGAAAATAATTAAAATTATTTTAAAAAATTTATATAAATTTTAGAAAATAATTGAATTTTTGCAAAGAATTTTTCAATTTATAAAAATAATTGAATTGTTTCAAAGGATTTATTATAATTTTAGAAAATAATTCAATTCTTTAGAAAATTTTTAAAGCCAATTATGAAAAAAATTGAGTTTTTTCTTGAAATTTTATTGAAAAACATTTTACTATTTAAATAAATGATTGAATTGTTTTGCAGGACTTATACTAATTTTAGAAAATTATTCAATTCTTTTGAAAATTTGTAAAGCGAATTAAGAAAAAAAATTTAATTATTTCTTGAAATTTTATTGAAAATAATGAATCTTTAAATAGATTTTATTATTTAAAGAAATAATTACATTGTTTTGAAGGATTTATTAGAATTTTAGAAAATAATTGAATTCTGTCGTGAAATTTTATGGAAAATAATTGAATTTTTGCATAAAATTTTACTATTTATAAAAAAATAATTGAATTCTTCCGAAGAAATTAAAATTTTTGAAGATATAAACAATAATTAATAAATTAGTTTTTTAAATTCTGATTATGAAATTATTAAAAAATTTGTATTTGTGAATATAAAATTTCGTCATTTTCATAATAATAATAAATTGAATATCACGTTCAGCGAACGTAACATTTGCTAGTTTTATATAATGAGAAAAGAAATAATTTTATTTAATAAAAATTTATTTGTTTAGATAACAAAAAATTAAAATAACCATTTTTTCCAGTTGCTGATGGACCTGAGATTTTCGTATCCAGTCAGGTTCCCATTCAATCCATCGAATATCAGACTGGAAGACATCGATGTTCCTGAAGTTCTTCATTTACCAATGCTAAAAAAAATCTAGAGCATTCCAATTTTTTTTTCCCCCGTCTTGATGACCATCGTGATTTTTTTAATATTTTGTTTTGAGGAACGCCAACAACGACCCTTGACTCATCAAGAATTTAAAGTAAGTTATTTAAAATTGTCAAGTAATTCAATTAAATAAGAAATGGAAGATCTAAAAATACCTATTTACGAAAATTTAATTTAACAGGACGGTATTTTTTTTATTGATTAATTTAATTATTTCTATAGTTAGATTTTTAATCATTATTTAGTTTTCTTGATAAATTTTGTATAGATTTGTATTTAATTCGTATTCAGGTATTTCTTCCATTTCAAATCAGAAAAAGAAAATTGGAAATAAGGGGTACCAAATATAGCATAGAAGTAAAAAAAACCGTGTGATCTACGGAACCAGTTTTTTAAAAAAAGAAAAAACATATAGCTTTTTTTATTTTTAACGCGAGAAATATATTTCCTGTTTTTTGAATAGAACAAACACCAAAAGCGTTTTAGAAAAAAAAACGTTCATAAGACGATAGAAAGTTATCAAAATTGAAACTTTTTAACGTTCATGTTTAAGGCTTTATTTCCAAATAACAAAAAATTCCAAACAAAAATGGTTCCCCCCTAATAATTTTTGATAAATTTCAAATTAGTTAGTTTATTTATTTATAATTCTAGAGAGGAAAATTGTCGGAAAAAATGTGTATATAATTTTATTTTTTCATATTTTAAAATTCGTAGTAATTTTGAAATTTTAATTTCTTTTTTTGTAAATAATATTAATTTATTTATTATATCCAAGTATTTTTTATTAGTTAAATTTTTCATTTTGAAGAAAGAAATTAATTCCAAGTTTTACTGGTGAATTACAAGAAAATTAGATTTAAAATTTACTTTATTCCATTTTTATAGAAAAAAATATTGAACACAGAAATAATATTTAAAAGAAAAGATCTAATTTCCGTTTGTAAAGATAAATTAATAGAAGAAATTTATTTAAAATAATTTTTCATTACGATATTTCTGCGTGAAATTTTAATTGAAAGGAAAATTCTATTGTAATTAAATTGTGTAAAAAGAGAGAAAGAGAGTTTTAAGATACATACTATATAACGTTATGTTGTTAGATTGTATATTTTGTGATACGAGAAGATTGTTAACGAGAAAAATTGGAAGACCAACTAATTGGTCTTCAAGAGAGAAAGGTATATTTTAATTATATAAATTATATTACTGTTAAAAAAATATCATTTACGAATAAAAAGCGTACGCTTTATGTTTTAGTGCCATTTCATAATTATATTTGAAAAAAATTTAATTTCTTCATTTTTCTATTAATTTAAACATTTTTCATTTCATTCATTTTTTTCATAAACGCATTTTGCTTAAAAGAAAATAGAAAAATAATTACTTCTTTCATAAAATAGAATGCGAGACAGTGTTTATATTTTCGATGTAACAAATTTTATTTGTTCCTGAAAATAAAATAAATTATCGTTGATTCAATTTTCGTATTATTTAAATAAAAAAACTGGTTTTCTTTTTTAGTTGACAAAATAATTTGAAGTATCGTAAAGAAATAATTTACATAAAAATTATTTATTTCAAAACTTGAATACATAAGCAGCATAAACTTTATCGTCGTTATTATTATAATTAAAAAATATTATCGACGGTGAAAAATTTTATTTCTCTGTTCTTTTTTTGTATTAAAAAAAAAAAAAAAATATATGGTGAAAATTGAATAAATTAAATGAGTTTACTTTCTAAACGGTTCTTTTATATAGATATTCGTTTTATAACTGCCATAAAAGTGAGACAATGAAATTATGACAAAGTGATAAAATACGTCAAAGACATGAGGTTTGAAAAAAAAATCTGTTTTAATGTAACAAAACAAAAAAAAAGTATGTAAAACACAAATTAAGCAATTACGAAGCGTAATGTTAATATTTTACCGATAATTTGTTCGTGCGTAGAAAAATTATTTGTTTACTGCATGTCGTTGGCTTCATTCGAGGAACGAATATCATCAATTTTCAGGATCATTTTCACCATTTGTGTTGCCAGGAGAATTTGCTGAGTCTTACTCTTCAACGATTCAATAACGTTTTGTACTTTCATGTCTAAAATCAAAGGAAAATTGCAATTTTACAAAGATGAAACTAAAATTAATGAATTTTACAATTAAAAAGTTTTCTTAATTATAGAAATAAATTTCTATCGATCTATTTATGACAGAAAATTATTTGATAATTAATTATTCAAAATTTAATTCTCGAAAATGGTAAAATAAAGAAATAATTTAATTTCATAAAATTAAATATAAACAGGGTTGCCACAAAACTTTAATTTTGTTTTTCCCTAATTTCCAGACAAAATTTTCATTTTTTCCCTGACCCTGAAGGACATCAATAACTTCTTTTTTAAATAAATATTTAATCCTTATTATTTTTCTATAGGAATTAAGATTCTCAAATTTAATAACTTACGAGAATATTATTATAAAATGACAGAGTGATATAATCATTATTTTATATCATAAGAATATTGCAACTATAAATTCAAATTTTCAAAGATTTTAATTTAAACCCTTTTCAAAATTCAAATATTTCTAAAAATTCACACAATAACTCTTCTAATATTCAATTATTATCTAAAATTTTACCTGAAATTCATTTTTTATTCATTTTTATTAAAAACTTTTTCTAGAATTCAATTATTTACATACAAAAATAAATAATTTATTCGAAAATTGAATATTTCTTAAAATTTAATTTTTATGAAGAATTTTATGAAAACTTTTTTAAATAATTGAATTCTTTCGGTGAATTTAAAAAAAATTAAGAATAAATGCAATTTTCTATCATTATATTTAAAATTGTATAAAAAATAATTGAAATTCTGCTCTGAAATTGAATTTTTTTTAGTATTTCTTCTTTTCGAATTAAAATTATTTACCTTTTTAATTATTTAAAATAAAAACCACAAGCCCTCAGATCTCATAATCATTGATCATTGGAGCCAACAGCAAGAGAAAGATTTTCAATAGCGTTTTCTTGACGAAAATAATTTCACTTGATACAAAGTCAAAATTGAAATTGTATAAGGCATGAATATTATTGAGAAGACAAGCAATCGAAATTCAAACTCTTACACTCCTCTATGGCGCTTTGTCATCATTGGGCAACAAAATTGATAATTTTTGTAAAATAGAAATTTTGTAAAGAATTTTATTATTTTTTTGAAAATAATTGAATTTCGGAGAAGAATTTTATTATTTATAAAGATAATTGAAATTTTGACGAGAGTTTAAAAAAATTGTTGAACATAATTGAATTTATGTGAAGAAGTGCATCACTTTTGAAAATAATTGAATTTCTGTAATCAGTTGTTCTTAAAATTTCTATTTAAATTAATTAAAAATTGATATTTTTAAAAATTTCAAATTCTAACCTTTGAAGTTCATCTATTTATGAAGATTGTAAACGCAACTCTTTTTAAATCCGATTAATTTTGAAATTTTTAAGTAAAATTATTCATTAAATAATTTATAAGTAATAATTTTATCAAGAACTTAAATCTTCAAGAATTAAATTATTTGAAAAGAAATTATTGTCAGAAATAGAAAAAATTGAAGGGTTTTTATTAGAATTCTTGTCAATTTCATAGTTTATGAGGCAAACAAAAATAAACCAAAATTCAGAATATTCTTATAAATTCTAAAAATTAAATTTTTCCCAGTACTTTTAATAAAAATCCCTGACTTTTTTCTGACCAATTCTAATTTCCCAGACTTGTGGCAACCCTGATAAATTAATATCTATAATTTTATATTTTATGAAATTAAATATTTGGTAGTTTATAAAATTAGATGAATTATTTAAACTTGTAAAAGAATTTTACCTGAAGTTCCTCGATTCATGCAATCGATACCAAGTGCTGGATTATTTTCGGAAATTTGTCGTGCCTTGATTTCGGCGAGAGAATTGACTGGAGACATTCCAGAATTCTCGGCGAGCGACATGGGAATTGCTTCGAGTGCTTCGGAAAATGCACGGAATGCATATTGTTCTAAGGTGCTAATTTTGTCAGCGGCCGCAGCGCAGGCCAAAGCACAAGAGATTTCAGACGCACCACCTCCATAAACAATTCTCTCGTCCGTTACCAAATTACGTACTGCACACAAAGCGTCGTGCAATGAACGCTTCGCTTCTTCAATGATCTGCGCAGAAAAAAATTAAAAATTCATTAATTTTATGTATATTTTCTATTATTAATTAATTAATTAATATTCATTCATTAATTTTAATTAACAGTAGTTAATTTTTTTCAGATTATAATTTGTAGCATTATCAGAGAGTTTCACCAGGTAATTGATTGAAACCGAAAAATAATGAATAATGCAGTATTAATTTTGCAAGGTGTCTGACCAATTAGATCCGTTGAAAAACCATAATTAGAATTCTCCTTGCCTTTCTTTTTAAATTTCAATTGCAAAAAAAAAATAAAATTTTTTCAAAATTATGTACTTTTTAAAATTAAGTACATTATAATTTTGGTACATACCATTTTATTACCACCTCGAATGAAAATTGTAACAGCCCCGGAATTTTTGCAGTCTTCAATAACAAGCATTTTATCCTTGGTGGTACCAAACGACAATTGTCTCACAACTCCAGCAAAACCAAGTTTCTCCGGTGTTAATTCTTCAAATCGTGGAACGATTCGACCTCCGGTTGCAATGGCAATCAACTAAATAGAAAATTTAGTATTAATTTTCCTCTTTCAAAAAAATTACATTATTTTCTTCTTTAGAAAAATTAGAAAAAATCTTTAGAAAAACTAATTTTTTTCGTAAGTTTTAAATTATTTAAGCCCTCAGATCTCATAATCATTGATCATGGGAGCGACTGCAAGGAAACGAAACGTAAAAATAATTGTCGATTTCTCTCGAGAATAGTCACCATTACATAGAGTTGATAAAATCAACTAAATGTTAGGATGGAAAATTCTGATTAGAAAAGAAAAATTATTCTCATAATTCCAGAGACCTTACCCCTCCTCTGTGGCGCTTTGTCATCATTGGGCAAATTTAAAGAAATTATTCTTTTAATTTCTTCTCTTTCTTTTAATTATTCTTTTTTTTTATATAAAATACCTCGATTTCAGGGCCTCCGACCCATCTGACAGCGGGCAATTTTTTCTGAAGAAGAAGATGATTTGCTTCGTCATCAAAACCCCATTGACAAATTGCGAGCGTTGCTCCTGCTTCTTTGACTTTATTGACGATTTCCTCGAACTTTTCCTTCTCGTAATTACGAAGTGCCCTGTAGTCCTCGACAGACGTAACGTCGAGCTTATGCTTTGTCTTCGGCTTCGGTGGCTCGAACGGACATGTCAAAATTGCCAGTTTCACATTGTCCAGCCTCTGAAATTGAATTTTTTTTAGTATTTCTTCTCTTCGAATTAAAATTATTTAAAATAAAAACCACAAGCCCTCAGATCTCATAATCATTGATCATTGGAGCCAACAGCAAGAGAAAGATTTTCAATAGCGTTTTCTTGACGAAAATAATTGCACTTGATACAAAATCAAAACTGAAATTGTATAAGGCATGAATATTATCGAGAAGACAAGAAATCGAAATTCAAACTCTTACACTCCTCTACGGCGCTTTCTCATCATTGGGCAAAAAAATTGATAATTTTTGTAAAATAGAAATTTTCCGTTTGGAAATTTAGTACCTTCGGCATTTGAGGATGACTGAAATCTTTGTCGATAACGACTCCGCGAACCAGCACGGTGTCCTCCAGGCGACCGCCAACTTTTCCCTCAACTTTGATGAGTTCAAAGTTCACGTCTCTTTTCTCTAAATCAGCAACAGCCATGACTGCATTCACAGCGATTTGTGCCATTTCCCTGTGCATCTTGTTTATGCTATAAAAAAAATTTTGTAATTTAAAAAAAAATTACATTATTGTCTTCTTCAAAAAACTTTACTTTTTCTAAAGTAAAAAAATTTATTATTTTTCGTAAGTTTTAAATTATTTAAGCCCTCAGATCTCATAATCATTGATCATGGGAGCGACTGCAAGGAACCGAAACGTAAAAATAATTGTCGATTTCTCTCGAGAATAGTCACCATTACATAGAGTTGATAAAAGCAACTAAATGTTTCGATAAAAAATTCTGATTAGAAAAGAAAAATTATTCTCATAATTCCAGAGACCTTACCCCTCCTCTGCTGCGCTTTGTCATCATTGGGCACTTCTAAGAATTAATTTTAAAAAAAAAAAAATTTAATATTAGTTTTTAGAAGCTAGTTTTAACTAATTTTCATAAATTTACACTTGAAGATTTTTTTATTAATTTTTTTTCGAAAATTCAATTTTTTTCACAAAATTGTAATAATAATACTTGAAAAAAATCAATTATCGAAATAATTTGTAATTTACACTAAAAATGTGGTATTCAGTTAAAAATTAGATAAGAAAAAAATCTAAAAAATAAATTTTAGATAGAAATGAACAAATTTAGAATAAAAAAAAATTAGTTACATTTTTGATCCAAGTGTCGTCATGGCAGTTTTGATTAGTGGCTCCAAGTCATTGGGATTAACGGGGAATCCTTCGGAGATGCTCGTGAGATGTTTAATAGCACAACGAGCGGCCAATTCGAAACCATCGGCAATTCGAATTGGATGAATACCCTTGTCGAGTAATTTCTGAGCTTGCTCCATGAGAGCGCCAGCTAAAACGACAACTCCAGTTGTTCCATCGCCAATCTCATCGTCCTGAGATTGAGACAATTGAACCATGAGTTTCGCTATTTCATGATCGACGTCCATATTTTTGAGAATCGTTGCGCCATCATTTGTCACGGTCACATCCCCATCGGGACTCACCATCAATTTATCCAAACCCTTTGGTCCCAATGATGACTTGAGAATGTTGGCGATTTGACTCGCAGCCATAATGTGTGACTGTAAAAATATTTCTTCTGTATTATTGAACATTTAATTAATAATATAATATTATATTTAAATTTAATTACTTAATTATGTTTATTTATTATGTTTAAGATATTATATTATTATATATATATAATTATTTATATATTTATTATATTTGTTATTTATATTTTTATGTGGCACTGTTTTAATTGTAATTAATCTTTAAGAATATTAATTACAACAGATTTATTAAACAATGCGTTTCTTTTGCAAAGTGTCTGACCAGGTAGGTATATTAAAATAGCACCACTGGAATTCTCTTTGCTTTCTTGAATTTTAATATTTTCTTTTTAATAAACTTTAATAATAACTTATTTTTTATAAATTAATAATTTTTAATTTCAATTAAAATTGAATTCAATTTTGAAACAATTTAACAAACGGATTAATTAAAGAACAATTATGTAAAAACAACATCATCAATTAATAATTTTTAATTTAATAATTAATAATTTTTTAATTTTATTAATTTAATTTATAATAATTTATTAATTAATTAATCATTTTAAGTTTAAATTAAAATTGAAAACAATTTTGAAACAGTTTAACAAACGGATTAATTAATAATAAAAAAAATTCATAACACATTGATAACTAACTATTAAAAATTAATTGAATTTGTTTTTAATTTTATTTAAAAAGTTTGTTAAAAATATTATATTTCTTAAAAAAATTTGTTTAAATTTATTATCGCTTTTTAAATATTCATGAAAGAAAAATTCTCTTCTCAAGCGCGAGTTAAAATTATAACATATTCCTGCCTACTGCATACAATTCACATGTCCTTTTATGGTCAGAAAGTAAAAAAATTATGATGTCTCTGAAAAAATGGAACATTCATCTAAATTCAATGAAAAGAATCAGCAGTTATTTTTTTAAACTAAAAATTACAATTTTTACCAGGAAAAAGATAAATTTAGCTAAAGGAAAAATGTAATTTAACATATGAGCATCATTCTTTTCTTTTATATGTTTCGGAGCATCGCCATTAATCACGTGGCAACGGTGACTAGAAAATTTACAAATTTAGCTAAAATTGAGACAAAATGACACGAAAATAGACAAAAAGACATGGAAAAAATAAGTAAAAAATAATAATCACTAATAAAATGGAAATTATAAAAATTAGAGGCAAATAATTAAGAAATTTATTCTTACCTTGATTGCATCGTTACCGGTCAATCGCTTCTGTTGGAATTGATCTCGCAGTATAATATAGGGTTTACCGTATTCATCGAATGCGATAGAACCCGGAAAGGCGTTCATTTTGTTGAATTTATTAATTCAGACAAAATGACGGATAGTATTCTTTTTTTATATATTAAAAATACTAAAATTGTTTCACTCACGCGGTACGTACTATTCACCAAAAGATGTCCATTTTGTTTCTGATTAAATAGATGAAACGAATGAAACATTCAAGATTTAAGACTTCATTTTATTTTTTTATGCAGCTAACTTCATTTTACAAATATGAGAGATTTATTTCATTGGTCATCTATTTTCAGATTGGACACTGTTTTGAATTGGGAACCAATCACATTTGTGCACTTGTCGGATCGGTGGTGTGGATATGACTTTAGTGTGGGATTCGCGTTGTGAATGTACCTTAGGCGTCAGCCATCTTCATTCAGCGCTGGACCTCTACCATGGACGGGTCGATGTACAACTCCGCAGGGTAAGAAACCCTTTTATTTGTTAAGAAATAGTTAAAATATTACTTATTTTGCAATAATTAATTACCAATTAGTTGCGAATATACTTTATAGTAAGCGATTGCAGCAAAAATGTTTCTTATTTGTTGTACATTTTGTCAAAATTACGCCTGAAGATTTTGAGGTTAGGAATGCGGAATTTTCATCGTATGGATAAAAATCTTTTCATCCGATGTAAATATTCATCTAGAATCACTCTTTCCTATTGATATTACATGTTTAGGGTAGTATTTAGGCTGAAAATTTTGTTTAAATCGTAAATTTTTGCTTTATTCCTGAAAGCATTAAGTCTACGACTTGAAGTTGGCAACTTAGGAATGAGTCCGTGTTACACGACTCGTGACTAGTTGATCAGTTCAGTCCAGTTACCATTTGTGTCCAACTTCACTTGAATTTAACTTTGAGCACTTTAATAAATTAAACGTTCTTTTTTGCAATATAATTGTTGAAATCATAAATATATACAGTTAATTTTAATTAAACTAATTTGGTTTGGGTGAGTAACAAACATCGCTAGCATTTTTGTTAAAACTATACATAATAATTTTGAATTCAGTACGATTTTACATATTTGTTATCAATTTGCAAAATATTTCGATAGAGAGTGCTTTTTGTTTACAGAAGTTTTTTTAGACTTTTATATTAATTAACATTTTTATTTATCTATTTTTTTGTTTTATTCTCCAAATGTTGTGAATTTATAAACTTAGATGAGAATTATGTGATGTGAAAACATAAACATAACAGTATTTTAAAGTAAATTAAATAGCTGACATTGTCAACGTAAACCATATAAACATTTAATTATTTAGATATAAAATTATCAAATATTCTTTAATACACATAACCTTATATTGGAAATCATGTTTTTTCATTGTCAATTTATTATTTTTGGTTAAGTATAAAAATAATAAATAGTAAACTTACATAATCGTAATAAATGTTTGTTTGTAATTTGAGGTTAGATTACAAAATATATTTGATAATTTTGCATTATTGAATTGTGTAAAAAAAATATAAATGACAAAAAAAAATAATTTCAAAAAGTAATTCTTAAATTTACTGAAATGTTTCTCTTTTATTATAATTTTACAATAGTAATTATTAATTATAATTATTATAATTATATTACAATTAATTTTAATTATAATTGTTTTAACAATTATTATTTTTAATTATTATAATTGTTCTAATAATATTACTATTAGTCTTTAATTACAATTAAATATAATTTGAAATCTTCTAAATTTTTTTGTATTGAACATTTTTTGACAAAGGAAAGAACTTTTCGTTTTTATGGTCAACAATAAGTTTCAATTGTTCAAATGAACGAAATATTTTTTTTTTAAATATTTTTATAAACTACTGATTGCAATAAAAATTGAAACATTAAATTTTACATTTAAAAAGTTTGTAATTAATTTTTTTGATATTGACGCAAAATGATTATAATACAAATTTATTTTGAAGAAAAGAAAAATTTATTTTGTTCATTAAAACCAGTAACTTTGGGATTATATTGTTTTCAAAGGTTTTCTGAAGCCTGTTTAACAAAATAAATAACATTTCATAATTCTAGTTTCATACATAATTATTTTTTCAAGATTTTTAATTTTAACTATGTATCTTTTTTTATTTACAGGTATTATTTTTGGTCATTTATTGAAATGCATTTACCGCATCGCAGAGAGGAAGGATTATTGAATATGGTTCATAGATTATGCAGTTGGAGAAGAAGGATATTCCTGAAAATTTCTGAACAAGATAATCGATGAATTTCGTTGAAATGTAAACGATTACTTCTTAATGCAGCCGATTTTTATACAATGGAAGGAAATAAAATATTAATGGTATGAAAATTTTCAATTATATTAACTATTAAGTTATAATTTACAAACTAAAATATTTACATTTGAAATTTAGTAAACTATTTTGGGCATTTTTAATACTCTTTAAAACTAACATTTGCGAATTATTAATGAGAGGGTTAATCGATATTTTTAACTATTTAAAAAAAATAATTTAAATAATCCATAAAATTGTTTATATATTAGTAATTTTTTGAGAGGAATTCAATGGCTATAAATTAAAATTGATTAGAAAATATTTTGTCCCTTTTTGAATTTTTATATAATCAAAAATTGATAGACTTTGAAATCCAAGCATGAGTTTGAAGATAATATATTTTTGTATCCACAAGAAAATTACTGACTGAAAAAATTATTGATTTTTACTTTTTTTTGAAGCATTTTAAACAAAACATTGATTTTAAATTTAAATTTTAAAAAAATACCATTGTTATTCAATTTTTTTATTTATAAATTCATTTGTTTTTTTTCTTACTAATTTCAGATCATATTTTTTATATAAAAAATAAAAAATATATAAAAATTATGAATTGTAATTAGTTTGAAAAAAACTGAATTTTCAAATAAATATGTTTAATAATAATGGTATTTTTTGGATTTTTCTGCCTAAAAGCAAAGTTTATTTCTAAAAAAAAAATGCTTCAAAAATAGTAAAGATCAATTTTTTCATTCCATAATTTTCTTGTGGATACAAGAACATATTTACTACAATTCAATTATTTTCAAAAAAATTTAATAACATTTTTCGCATCAATTCAATTATTTTCAATACGATTGTACTTAAATTCTTCAAAAGAAGTTAATTATTTTCAATAATATTAATATAATTTTTCACTTCAATTATTTTCATAAATAATTAAATTTTAAATGTATTTCTCGAACTATTCAATTATTTTTAAAAATTATATTAAAATGATTCAAAATAATTCAATTATTTTCAAAATTTTTGATAAAATTTATTATGAGAATTCAATTTTAGAAATAATCAACTGTTTATTTTGTATTTAAATAACACAGGAATAACAGGAATTTACAAATTTACAATTTTTTTTAAATTCATCGCAGAATTTCAATTATTTTTAATCAAATTCCTCGAAAAATGTAATTATTCTTAAAAATTTTATTAAAATTCGTCGAAAAATTTAATTATTTAAAAATTTGCGGATAAAATTCTTTATCAGAATTAAATTTTAAGAAAAATTTAATTATTGAAAAAATGATTTATTTTTGTATTAAAATAATTTAATTCTCGAAAGATTTTCTATATAGTAAAAATTGCTTTAAAAAAGGAATTTCAGTTAAAATTTAATAAAATTAAATCTATTATTTAGATAATAATTGAATATTAAAAGCATTATTTATAGCATGAATTTTTAGAAATAATTGAATTTTGAAAAGATTTCAAATAAAAATCTCTGAAAATTTGAATTTTTCATACTTTTAACTAACAATTCTGTAAAATTAATTTTTTTTTGAAAAAGTTCAATTGAATTTTTTTTGAAATTATTTGACGTTTTTATTTTTAATATACAATTGAAGAATTCACGAATAATCGATAAAATTTTGTAAAATGACTTGTAAACAAATGAATTTAAAAATTCTCAAAAAACTTTTTTAAAAATTAGTAAAAATAATTGTTTCAAAGAAGAATTTTTGTTAAAAGTTCTAGAAAATGTTAATTGAATTGAAATGATTAAGATTGAATCATTAAGAAGTCAATCACTTCGACTTGAAGGTTCGAAGTGATCGATATCTTCATGTTTTATAATAATATTTTTATAAGTTGTTGAGTTTTCATGTGGAAAAATAATAATGATTAAATATTTATTTAAAATAGAAGTTATTGATGTTTTTGAATAATTTTACTTTTAAAGAAATTTGTAAATGTAATAGAACTTTTTTTTGAGTATCTAATCATTTTTAGAGTAAATGATTGTAGGAATTCAATTATTTTCAAAAGTAATAAAATTCTTCGCAAAAATTCAATTATGTTCAAAAATTTTTTAAAATTCTCGTCAAAATTTCAATTATTTTTATAGAAATAATTAAATTCTTCTTCAAAATTCAATTATTTTCAAAAATTTTAATCAAATTTTTGGCAAAATTTAAATTATTTTAAAAAATTTTCTTCAATTTAATGATTTTTAATAGGTATCTACTATTCTAATAAAAATTTCCAAAAGAATTCAATTATTTAAAAAAAAATTTAATAAAATTCTACACAAACCTTTAATTATTTAAAAAAAAATAAAAATTTCACAGGAATTTCATTATTTACAAATTCTTTTATAAATTTCTTCGCAATCATTCAATTATTTTCATAAATAATAAAATTTTTACAGGGATTAAATTATTTTGGTAAATAATAAAATTCTTATTAGGAATTAAATTATTTTGATATAAATAATAAAACTCATTGCAGAATTTCAATTATTTTTAATACAATTTTACAGGAATTCCTCGAAAAAATGTAATTTTTTTTCAATTTTTTTAAAATTCGTCAAAAGAATTCAATTATTTAAAAATTTATTGTTACAATTCTTTATGAGAATTCACTTTAAGAAAGATGCAATTATTCAATAAATTTTTTTTGTAGGGTAAATGCACTAGTAGTCGGACACTTAAGGATACAATCTTAAATTATGCTTTTTTTCTTGAAATAGCAAATATCTACTGTGTTTATAAGCACATTATTAATTAAAGGAGTTCTTCAGGATTAAAAATCATATAAATTTGTTACAAATAGTTGAGTATTTAATAAAATATAAACAATTTAATAAAAAATTACGATTGCTTTAGTAGTCGGACACTTTTTCCCCTTGTTTCTATAGTCGGACATCTGTCAGATATTTTGAATTTATAAAGTAAAAAAGATAATTTTTTAATTGCTATCTGCTGGAAAATGGAATTAAAGCATATTAGAAGTTATTAATATAATATTTAAACCCTATAAGTTTTAATATTTATGATTAATTATCAACAAAACTTTGTGCCACTCATCGCGCTACTCGAAAATGGCTGTATCTATAGTCGGACACCATGATTTTTAAAACATTAAATAAAATATTTCTTGTTTAATTATTTTCGAAAATAACACTATTTTAATAAAATATAAACTTCACACATTCGTCTAGTATACTTTTTAAAGTAATTATCACAATGCATTATTATTTATTTGCCAAAAAACACGAAAGTGTCCGACTACTAGTACTGTCCGACTATACCCGCACTTACCCTATTTAAATAATTGAATTTTAGTAGAAATTTCTTATAAAAATGGATTTAAAAATGGATTTCAGTTAACATTTTGGATTATAATTGAATATTAAAAGCATTAGAGCGTAAATTTTTTTTTAGAAATAATTGAATTTTGAAAAGGTTTCAGATTAAAATCTTTGAAAATTTGAATTTTTCATACTTTGAACTAACAATTCTGTGTGGAATTAATTTTTTTAGAAAAGTTTAATTGGATTATGTTTGAAATTATTTGATGTTTTTATTTTCTAATATACATTTAATTGAAGAATTTACGAATAATTTAAATTTCGTAAAATTGAATATTGTAAACAAATGGATTTGAAAATTGTCAAAGAATTTTTTCGAAAATTATTAAAAATAATCGATTTTAAGAAGAATTTTAGTTTTAAATTCTTGAAAATAATAATTGAATTTGATAATGATTTTATCACTCAGTCATCTTTATTATAAAACATGAAGAAACTGATCACTCCGAGTCGAAGACTCGGAGTTATAGATATCTTCATGTTTTATATTTATGAAAAATTTAATTTATAGTTTTAAGTAAAATGTGTTCTTTTATTTGACTCGAAGTGGTTATATTTTTTTTTTGTACCGGAAATGGTCCCTAATTTTTCATTTTTGGTCCGTAAAGTCAGTATTTTTAAATACTTTCACTAATTCGTGATCTGTTTCAGTATTTGTTATTGTTTATTCCTTATCCTTTAAAAATGATAGTAATAGCTATTCGAAAAATCAAATGAGAAGATATCTTGTTGCAAATTTGACTTCTCTATTGTTGTCGTCTTTTAACCCTTTTTTAAATCATGTGCTTATCTTGCAGCCCTGCGCGGCCCCTACTTCTCTAATTCCCCCCCAACCGTAGAAAAGCAACCGCCTACTATGGCGATGTTTACAGTACAGTCACGGCACGAAAAGATCCATGTGTTCAGTCGGTGGTTTGTCCGGCTATCGAGCAGGTAGTGCGTATGCGTCGAGCGGCTGCGCATTTCGTTTCTCAAAGTGTACATTCGTGTCACGTGGTTCCACATTTATCCCGCCGATTTCATTTCGCAAAAATAATTTCATTTTTTCCCCCAAATGTCACGATTTAATCTCATCACAAGGATCTCTTAACAATTGTTTCTGACATTTGGAGAAAATTTATTGTGAAATTCCTCTCGAGTGTAAAATTAAACATTAACAAAAAAAAAAAAAATACTTTTTATGAAAAAGGAATTTTTATTTAAGTGAAACATATTTTTTTTTCTATAGTGATTCTTTGTTTTTCTTTTGAAAAGTCTTTCAAAAAGTTTATCAAAAAGTCTTTCAAAAAGTCTTAAATCTTTAATTTAGAAAGATCTGATTTCTTTCATCAATTTCTACTCAAAAGTGCGAAGTGCATCGGGTGTTTAAAAATAAATCAAACTTGTTAAATAGGATAAAGTGTTGTGAGTGCTTTAATTGAAAGTGGATTTTAAAGTGAATTTAAAAAAAAAATTAAAATCTTGAAGAAAAGAAAAAGTAATCAATTGAATGCGAATGAATGTCAATGAGAGACGATTGTTATGACCGGCGTATTATTTTTTGATAAGGAGAAGAAGCGGGTGGAGAAGAATGAAAAGTGGTTATTGTTGACAATTGATTGGCAAGAGAAATTGGAGGCGGAAAAGGGGAAAAAATTTGGTGCACAGGGAAGAGTGGTGGTGGTTGGCGGCGCCGGTACCGTCGGCGGTACTACCGGCACAAAAATAATGCCTCGCGGTTTACCAACGAGACGAGGCCTTCAGGCACTGGCTCTCATTCTTGCGACAGCTTACGCTACAATTCTTCTCTATCAGGCTGTTGCACCGCGCCAGGTGACCCATCTTTTATGCATTAAATAGTATACATCAGTTGTAATTAGTCAATGTCGCGACGCTAACTCAAGTAATTAACATTAGCTTTCATCCGCTCTTGTCATAGCAGGAGACATTTAAAGGCAGAAACACGTTCCTTGGAAAACGTGCTTAGTATGATTATTCCCAAGTTGAAAACTTTCTTCTTCTCTAACATTCCATCTTCTTTTTCTTTTTCTCTTATGAAAATTAATTTCATATTCATATTTCTTCATTTTGTTTAATTAGTTTCAGTTCAATTGAATTCTTGAATTTTTGCTTTTTCGCAACACTTTTGATTCGTTTTTTGTCTTAATTTGATATTTGTTCATTGTGCTTTAATTTTTATTTATATTTTTTTCTTTATTTTTTGATATTTTTATCATTTTTTGATATTTATAAATTTATACAGGAAAAAAAATGTTATTTTAACACTAAAAGTAGTGTTAAAATAACACGCAACATTTTTAACCGATACTGTGTTATTTTAACACTACATTGGTGTTAAAATAACACTAGAGTCTGGTAAATTAACACTAGAGGGTGTTAAATTAATATATATCTTTAATGGGGTTAAAATAACACCAAAATTGTGTTAAAACAACACCATCTGAAAACTACACGCAACACATTTAACACTTATTTTTTTCTGTGTTTTTAATTAATAATAAATAATTTATAAATATATTTATAAATTATTTATTATTTTATTTAGTATTTATTAACTTAAATTTTACTTAAAAATTTAACAAATATTTAAATTATTATAATTATTTATTTGTTATTAGTTTATCCAATAATTCTACATAAAAATTTAAAAACAATTAAATTTTATAATTATTTACTTATAAATTATGTATCAAATCATTTTTTTAAGTTAAAAATTCAAAAAATATTTCAACTATAGAAGAGTTGCAATTGCAATTATTTCATATCATTGAATTTCAGAAACTTTCCTAAAATTCAATTATTCTTTGAATTTTAAAGTAAAACCTTCTAAAATTCAATTATTCTTTGAATTTTAAAGTAAAACCTTCTAAAATTCAATTATTCTTTGAATTTTAAAATAAAACTTTCTAAAATTCAATTATTCTTTTAGTTTTTAATTTCAAACTTTCTGAAATTTTTATAAATAATTGAATTTCTAAGATTTTTGAGTTAAAAATACAAATAGTAATTGAATTTTAGATGATGTCCGTTCGCACTTTTTATAAATAATTGAATTTAGAGGGTTTTAAGTTCAAAATTAAAAAATAATTGAATTTTAGATGAGTTCCGTTTGCAATTTTTATAAATAATTGAATTTAGAGGGTTTTAAATTAAAAACTAAAAGAATAATTGAATTTTAGAAGGTTTTATTTTAAAATTCAAAGAATAATTGAATTTTAGAAAATTTCTGTTTGCGATTTTTTATAAATAGTTGAATATCTAAGCTTTTTGAGTTAAAAATACAAAAAGGTAATTGAATTTTAGAAGAGTTACACTTGCAATTTTTATAAATAATTGAACCTCACTTAAGAATGTTTAAAATTAAAATTTTTAAAAATAATTGAATTTTAGATGAGTTCCATTTGCAATTTTTCTAAATAATTGAATTTAGAGGGTTTTAAGTTGAAAATTAAAAAATAATTGAATTTTAGATGAGTTCCGTTTGCAATTTTTATAAATAATTGAATTTAGAGAGTTTTAAGTTGTTGAAGTTCTGAATAATTTTAAATTCTAAAAAATAATTAAATTTTAGGAAACCAGCAGTTGTAATTTTTATAGAATAGATAATTAATTTCCAAAAGGTTTTTAAGGTAAATTCACTTTAAAAATGTATTAAAAATTAAGAATTAAGAATTTTAATTGATATGAATGTATAATAATGTTTAAATATTTATTTTAAAAAGTTAATAATTTGTTACTTTCTTAAAAAATTTTCTAAAAGAAATGAATTATTTTTAAAATTTTAATAAAAAATTTTTTTTTATATGAATTCAATTTTTTTTCAATACAATTGTAATTAAATTCTTCGAAAGAATTCAATTGTTTTCAGAATTTTTAATAACAAATTCTTTTAAAAAAATTCAATTATTTTCACAATAAAATTTTTCCCAAGAATTCAATTCTTAAAAAAAATTAATAAAATTCTTTGCAAAATTCAATTATTCTAATAAATAATACAATTCTTCGTATAGGATTTCAATTATTTTCAATACAATTTTAGTTGTATTTCATGAAAAATTTAAGTATTTTCAAAATTTCTTAAAAAAATCATTATTGGAATTGAGTTATGGAAATAATAATTAATTATTCTATCAATTGTTTATTTTTGTATTTAAATAATTGAATTCTCGAAGAAGTCTTTCTTGAAATCAGTAAAATACATTATATAAAACGTCAAAAAAATAATTTAATTTTAGATGAAACAATTGCAGTTGTAATTTTTAGATATAATTGGATTTCGAAAGGTTTCTAAATTTAATAATTACGTATGGAAAATTTTAAATGCTGCAAAAGTATAATATATCGAGTTTTACTTTTTAATTTTAATTCAATTACGTTATAATCAAATCTGTTTCTGGAGTATTAAAGAAATTCGAAATAAACATTGATCCTAGAGTTATTTATTTCTTTGGTAAATTATTCAATTATCTGTTAACAATTTTAACAGCGTCAACATAACAATAACTTTTATGTGGTCTCTATTTTTATCAGAATTAATTATTCCTTTGTTTTTATTTAATTGTCTCTTGTTAGGAAAATTGTACCAATAAGTTGAAGTTAAAAAAGAAAAAAAAATTCTATTAAATACTCAAATATAACCCAACAGTATAGTCATAAAAATATAAAAAAAAGAGGAAATATTATTATAGTAATTAAATATTTAAATATTAAGTAATTAAATTTTTGAATATTAAGTATTTAAAATACTCAAATATTAAGTAATTAAAATTTAAATATTAAGTATTTAAATACATTAAGTAATAGTTAATTAATGAATGTTAATTAAAGCAGAAATTCGTTGATCAACAATGTGAACTTAAACTTCGTGAAATTGTCTATTATTAGGAAAATTTGATTCTATAATTTATATCCCAAGTTTTAATTCTTGATTCCATTGTATATACGTTTATAGAGTTTCATTTCTTAAGTGAAATGGAAATTCCTAATGGCCGAGTGATTATATAAGTTTGTCGCATTTCGTAAGTTTAGTTCTATCGATAGTGAACACAAATGCCTGCGGAAAATATAGATATATGTGTGTATATGTATAGTTTCTGGAGAAGGTGTATTGCTGATTAGAGAAATAAAACGTGGAATTTATAGTCTAGACTTTGTACATGGCACTCAGAGCTTAAAATAAACCATAAATATTGACATTTATAAAATTATAGATAAGTTTCTTTAACGAGAGTGAAAGAATAAATCTACTTTGCTTTAATTATGTACCTATACTTGTCTTTAAGAGGGCTTGCCTCGATTCGATCTTAAAGTGCAATATATTTCAAATTTTAACGACGGAATTTACATTTTTGTTTTCATATTCATATGCGAATGTGAAATTAATTTTTTTTCGTTAGATATTATAAAATACTTCCTTCATGACAGAAAAGACATGAAAGACAGGGTTGCCACAGGTCAGGGAAAAGTCAGGAATTTTTATTAAAAGTACTGCAAAAAATTAAATGTTTAGAATTTATAAGAAAATTCTGAATTTTTGTGACTTTTTGATTGAATCATAAACTAGGAAATTACCACGAATTCTAAAAAAACCATCAATTTTTTCTATATCTGACAATAATTTATTTTGAGTAATTCAATTCCATTGAAAAACTGCCATAAGGTTAATTTATAAATCATCTAATTAAGTATTTTTTTGAAAAATTTTTATTTCAATTCTGTTGAAATTAGTTTTAATTTTTAAAATTTTAACGCAAATCTTCGAAAGAATTCAATTATCTTAATAAATATTAAAATTCTTTACAGAAATTCAATTATACACAAAAATTTAAGAAAAACATTCTCGTCGACATTTCAATTATCTTTATAAATGAATAGCAAAATTCTTCGACAAAATTCAATTATTTTCAGGAATTTTAATAAAATTTATTGCAAAATTCAATTATTTTCATAAATAACAATATTCATCACAAGAATTCAATTATTTTTAAAATTAATAAAATTCATCGTAGAAATTCAATTATTTTCAAAAAATGTAAAAAAATTGTCGTCAACATTTCAATTATCTTTATAAATGAATAGCAAAATTCTTCGACAAAATTCAATTATTTTCAGGAATTTTAATAAAATTTATTGCAAATTTAAATTATTTTCATAAATAATAGTATTCATCACAAAAATTCAATTATTTTCAAAAGCAATAAAATTCAATTACTTTCAAAAGTAATAAAATTTAATTATTTTCTAAAATTTTAATAAAATTAATGTCAAAATTTCGATTATTTTCAAAAATTTTTTTTAATTCACCGATTTTTAAAATTCTACTATCTTAATAAAATTTCCCAAATGAATTTAATTATTAAACAACATTTTTTATAACATTCTACACTAACAATAATTTCTATTCAAAAAAAAAAAAAAATTCCACAGGAATTCAATTATTTAAAATAGAATTTGCATAAATCTTTTCGAAAAAATCAAATGTTTTAAAATTTGGCATTAAATTCTTTGCATTAATTCAATTATTTTCATAAATTTTAAAATTATTTTCATAAATAATAAAATCATTCGCTGGGAGTCAATTATTTTCATAAATAACAATATTCAGCACAAGAATTCAATTATTTTCAAAAGTAATAAAATTTAATTATTTTCGAACATTTTAATAAAATTCTAAATTTATTATTTCAATAAAATTCCCCAAAAGAAAAACAATTTTGAGCAAGTTCTACCAGAATATTCAATTATTTTCTAAAATAATAAAAATTTCACAGGAATTCAATTATTTAAAATAGAATTTGCAAAAAAAAAAATCAATTGTTTGAAAGTTTTTTATAAAATTCTTCGCAATAATTCAATTATTTTCGTAAATAATAAAACTCATTGCAGAATTTCAATTATTTTTAATAGAATTCCTCAAAAATGTAATTATTCTTAAGAATGTTATTAAAATTCGTCGAAAGAATTCAAATATTTTTAAAAAATCTAAAAAAAATTGTCGTCAACATTTCAATTATTTTTATAAATGAATAGCAAAATTCTTCGACGAAATTCAATTATTTTCAGGAAGTTTAATAAAATTCATTGCAAATTTCAATTATTTTCAGGAATTTTAATAAAATTCATTGCAAATTGCAATTATTTTCGTAAATAATAGTATTTATCACAAGAATTCAATTATGTTCAAAAATTTTAATAAAATTCATGGCAAAATTTCAATTATTTTAACAAAAATTATTTTAAAATTATTTTTCTAAAATTTTAATAAAATTCATGGCAAAATTTCAATTATTTTAACAAAAATTTTTTTTAATTCAACGATTTTCAATATTTTAATAAAATTTCCCAAAAAAGTCAATTATTTAAAAACAATTTTGACAAAGTTTTACAAGAATATTCAATTATTTTCTAAAATAATGAAAATTTCACAAGAATTCAATTATTAAAAATAGAATTTGCATAAATTTTTTCGAAAAAAATTAATTGTTTGAAACTTTTTTATAAAATTCTTCGCAATAATTTAATTATTTTTGTGAAAAATAAAACTCATTGCACAAATTCAATTATTTAAAAATTTGTTTATTAAATTATTTATTTATTTATTTATTTATTTATTTCACTTTTACGGGCTTGAAGCCCTTTCGTACATTGTACTTAACAAAGTATTTAACAAATTATAACAATAAAAATTTATAATATAAAAATAACAACTATAAATGCGCTCAAATAAACAATTTAATTTTCAAAAGTGTTAACTATTCGTAGTGAGGCTTTAAATTTGTCCAGAGGCATAGCAAAAAAATCAAGCTGTTTACTAAATGCATTCGCTTCTCGACAAATCCTATTTATAGGAGAGTTTTCACCATTCACCGTTCTGTGGTGTCTCAACCTAAATAGAGATACATTTCTCAATGATATAGTTGGTGCAGAGAAATTAATATTTGACAAAAGTTCGGAACAATTTACAATTCCATGAATTACTTTATATAAAAACAGTAAATCGTTAAATATAAACCTCGAAGATAGAGTGGGAATATTAAGAACTTTTCTAAGTTCACTGTAATCATGGCTATTACGGTCATATGGAATGTGTAACTTCCATGCAGCGAATCGCAAAAATCTATTTTGAATTTTTTCGTATCTATCAAGATGATCCTGATAGTAAGGAGCACAGACAACAGATGCAAACAACAGCGCTGGCCTCACAAGTGAAAAAAACAAAGATTTAATGGCGTGAATGTTATTAAACGTAGTAATATTTCTTGTGACAAAACCAAGACTTCTCAATGCCTTTTCTGATGAATCAGAGTAGTGACTATGGAAACTAATATTCGACTGAAGAGTAACTCCCAGGTCTCGAACACTTGATAGTCTTGTTAACGGAGTGTTATGAATTTTATAATGAAATATCTGTGGTGAAGTTGACTTTGAAAAAGTTATGACTGAACATTTGTTAATATTTAATGGAAGTTTATTTAAGATAGACCATTTTACTAATCTCTTTAAATCATCTTGAAGGCCAGCCGAATCTTCCTGTGATTTTATTACTTTGAATAATTTTAGGTCATCAGCAAATAAGGACTTAAAAGAATAGTAAAATATTTTAGAAATATCATTAATAAAAATTATGAAAAGCAGAGGACCAAGGTTCGATCCCTGGGGAACTCCCGAAGTGGGAATAAAAGTTGTCGAAAGATTTTGTTCGACACGCACCACTAACTCTCTGTTAGCCAAGTATGACATAAACCAGCTTTGAAGGTCATGGGAAAACCCCATAGCTCCGAGCTTTGTCACAAGAATACCATGGTCAACCTTATCGAAAGCTTTAGAAAAATCTGTGTAAACAGTATCTACAGTATCTATTATGTGTAAGAATTAAATTTTAAGAAAAATTCAATTATTCAATAAATTATCTATGTTTGTATTTAAATAATTGAATTCTCTTAGAATTTTATAATAAAATTTGATTTATAAAATAATTTCACTTGAAGTTTTGGATAATAATTGAATTTTGGAGAATTTACTAATAATTGCAATTTTTAGAAATAATTGAATTTTGTAAAGGTTTCAATTTAAAATCTTTGAAAATCTAAATTTTTCATAGGTTTTAATTAAAAATTCTATGGAACTAATTTTCTTAAAAAAGCTTAATCGAGATTTTTTAAAATTATTTCAAGTTTATATTTTCTAATGCATATTTTATTGAGGAATTTCCGAATAATTGAACTTTCACGTAAAATTGAATTGTAAACAAAATGTATTTAAAAAAGAGAAAGAAAAAGAAAAATAAAAGATTTGAAAATAATAATTGAATTGAAATGATGGAAATAATTTTGAAGGAGTTATACAGTCTCTAATATTATTCCTATAATATAAAGTAATGATCTTATCACTCGATCATCTGTAAATATTATAAAACATGAAGAAATAGAGTATTCCGAGTCGAAGACTCGGAGTGATCCATTTCTTCATGTTTTACAATAATATTTTTATCAGTTATTGAATTTCAAAAGGTTTGAATTTGAAATTTTTGAAAATCATAATTCCTATGGAATATTTATTTAAAAATGAAGTTATTTTTGAATAATTTTACAATTAAGAAAATTCGTTAATAAATGTAATAGAAAATTCTTTGGAGTATCTAATTATTTTTAGAGTGAATCCGAATATTCTTTAGGGTCAGGGAAAAATCGAAATTTTGTCTGTAAATCAGTGAAAAGTCAGGAAAAAACAAAATTAAATTTTTGAGGCAACCCTGTAAAGAATATATTATTTTGATTTAAAATTTTCTTTTCATTTTGGTTTCAAATTTTTTTATTTATTTTAATTTGTAATTTTCTATTGATTTTGATTTGAAAATATTAATTTTTCGGTATTTATGTATTTTTTGCAGTGGAATGAAGAAGGTGCAGAAGAGATCAATAACAGTGTCGCCATTGAAGTCCCAATATCTAGAGCAGCTGGTGAGGAAGATGCGGTAACACCGCCTGGAGCAACTGCTACAATGGCACCATTTTCCACTGATCTTGCTGACGTCTTTATCAGCGTGAAGACCACCCGTCACTATCATCATTCCCGTTTGCCTGCAATCATCAGCACGTGGTTTCAATTCGCCAAGGATCAGGTCAGTGTATGAGCTTGATTCTGTATACACTTGTTCGATCAACTATATATAATATAATATAAAAGCTAATGCCAATATCTCTCGGGTAAGGTTTTAAATGGATTATGTATAGACATAATCCGGTTATGCTCCGCTAAACTGGTCGCACAATTATCTCAAGATAGTGTGTTTTTAACGCGATTCTGAAAAGAGAACAAAAAAAAAATTCTCTTTCGCTCAACAATTTTCATATTTAAACGTTTTCATCATTTTTTTTTGTATGTTTAATATTTTTTTATTTGTTTTTTTTTGTTTCATATTATTTTTGTTTATATTATTTTTTTGTGCATATTATATTTTCTGTACACATTTTCTTTTTTGTACATATTATCTTTTTGTTCACATTATCTTTTTTGTACACATTATCTTTTTTGTACACATTATCTTTTTCTGTACATATTATCTTTTTAGTGCATATATTTAGTCTGTAATATTATTATTAACACGTGATTTTAGCCATTATACGTTATTAACGCGTAGTTTTGCAATTTCCCATCAAACGGGGTGAAAACCTTGACAACTGGATATAAATAGTCTATATAGTGAGAATATTGAGTCATTTATGTTGGATTAATTATCGGCAATTTAAATCAGTTTGCTATTTGTTACGTAAGATGGCAAATTGCTTTTTTTATGATGTATGAAAAAAAATAGAACGAATAATGATTATGGTAATAATACAAACATTTTTATTTATGATCCACAAGTTTTCAACGTTCAAATGATGAATGACGTATTTCCTATTAAGAATATTTTCATAATTATTATGGAAATTTTATATAAATAAAATTATTTTTTATATAAATTTTACGTGAGTTAATAAAAACGTAAACTTTACATTTAGAAATATAATTAATTTTCTTCTGGTATTGACGCAAAAATAATTGTAATTAAATTTTTCATTTAGAATTTTTTATTCAATCACATCAAATTTAATTTGAAAAAAAATGAATTTGGCTCGAAGAGTTGTTAAGAGTATTCAGGAAAATCGAGGAATTCAGGGAAAAGTCAGGAAAAGTGAAATATTGTTCAGGAACATCAGGGAAAATTATCAAAAGTACTGGAAAAAGTATTAAATTTCTAGGAATACTAAAAAATTCCAATGATTCTGCTTTGCATAAAAATTAAAAAAATAATTAAATTTTATAATTATTTATTTATAAATTATTTTATTTAGTATTTATTAACTTAAATTTTACTTGAAAACTTAACAATTATTTTAATTTCATAATTATTTATTTGTAAATAGTATATCCAATAATTTTACTTAAAAATGAAAAAATAATAATTATTTACTTTATAAATTTTTTATATTTAAAAATTCAAAAAATAATTAAGGTATAGATGAGTTGCACTTGCAATTTTTAAAAATAATTTATTTTCAGAGGATTTTCAGTTAAACATTCAAAAAGTAATAAAATTTTAGAAGAGTTCCGTTTGCAATTTTTATAAATAATTAAATTTAAAGGGTTTTGAGTTAAAAATTCAAAAAATAATTGAATTATAGAAGAGTTGCAATTGCAATTATTTCAAATAATTAAATTTCAGAAAGTTTTAAATTAAAAACTAAAAGAATAATTGAATTTTAGAAAAGTTCCGTTTGCAATTTTTATAAATAATTGAATTTAGAAGGTTTGAACTTTAAAAACTTTAAAAGGTTTAAAATTAAAAAAATAATTGAATTTTGGAAGAGTACCGCTTTTTTAAATAATTGAATTTCAGAGGGTTTTAAGTTAAAAATTTAAAAACTAATTGAACTATAGAAGATGTGCAATTGCAATTACTTTAAATAATTGAACTTCAGAAAGTTTTAAATTAAAAACTAAAAGAATAATTGAATTTTAGAAGAGTTCCGTTTGCAATTTTTATAAATAATTGAATTTCTAAGGTTTTTGAGTTAAAAATACAAAAAATAATTGAATTTTAGAAAAGTTACACTTGCAATTTTTGTAAATAATTGAATTTCAGAAATTTTAAAATTAAAACTTTTAAAAATAATTGAATTTTAGATGAGTTCCGTTTGCTTTTCTTTATAAATAATTGAATTTAGAGGGTTTTAAGTAAAAAAAAATAAATAATTGAAGTTTAGAAAAGTCTTACTTGCATTTTTTGTAAATAATTGAATTTTAGAAAATTTGAAATTAAAAATATAAAAGATAATTAAATTTCAGAAAGTTTTAAATTAAAAATTCATAAAATAATTGAATTTTAGAGGAGTTCCGTTTGCTTTTTTTTAATAATTGAATTTCAGAGTCTTTTGAGTTAAAAATTCAAAAAATAATTGATCTATAAAAGATTTGCAATTGCAATTATTTTAAATAATTGAAATTCAGAGGGTTTTAAATAAAAATTAAAAGAATAATTAAATTTTAGAAGATTTTACTTAAAAATTCAAAGAATAATTGAATTATGGAGGAATTGGGTTTGTAATTTTTATAAATAATAGAATTTCTAAGGTTTTTGAGTTAAAGATACAAAAAATAATTGAATACTTGAAGATTTGCACTTGCAATTTTTATAAATAATTGAACTTTAGAAAGTTTAAAATTTAAAACTTAAAAATAATTGAATTTTAGGTATGTACCGTTTGCTTGTTTTAAATAAATAATTGAATTTCAGAGGGTTTTAAGTTACAAATTCAAAAAATAATTGAATTTCAGAAGAATTGCACTTGCAATTTTTGTAAATAATTAAATTTCAGAAAATTTTCAGTTAAACATTCAAAAAAGAATTGAAGTTTAGAAGAGTTGCAATTGCAATTATTTTAAATAATTGAATTTCAGAAAGTTTTGAATTAAAAATACAAAATATAATTCAATTTTGGAGAAGTTCCGTTTGCTTTTTTTAAATAATTGAATTTCAGAGTTTTTTAAGTTAAGAATTCAAAAAATAATTGAATTTTAGAGGAGTCTTGTTTGCTTTTTATAAATAATTGAATTTATAGGGTTTTAAGTTTAGAATTGAAAAAATAATTGATCTATAGAAGAGTTGCAATTGCAATTATTTGAAATAATTGAATTTTAGAAGGTTTTACTTTAAAATTCAAAGAATAATTGAATTATGAAGGAATTGGGTTTGCAATTTTTATAAATAATTGAACAAAATGAAATGTTTTTGAAAACTCTGTTCATTTGAATGTTCAAAATTTTAGGATCATATTACTATTAATTATTTTTAATAAAAATGTTTGTATTAAAAATTATGTTTCTTTATACACTATAAGCTTAAATGGATAGAAGTTATTAGTTAGAAAGTATTAATGGAATTGTTTTATTATCTGAAAAGTAAATAGTTTTGTCTGCCTTATTTTAATGCTGATAAGGTATTCAGTTAAATGTACCCGCGAAAGAGTGAATTTGAAGGTCGCAATTATAAATAATTGTGGATAATAACTTCATTAGGGATGTTAAAGATTTACGGATCATCAGTACTTGTACATATATAGCGTTTTATTGGTCGTCATTCCTAATTCTTGCAAAGATATTTTTCTTGGAAATTTTCTTCACGAGTCTCCTTGCTCATTCACCTATTATTACCTTGATGTGCATAAATCCATTAAGACGTGGGTAAATCTATAGAGAGTTATGTAACACCGCAGATACCTTGCAATATTCTTTAATATTATGCTTTCAAAACATGACATTCAATTAATATGGAGATTATTGTAATTAAGCGCGAAAACAATGTATTTCTCTTTTTATGGTCTACTTTATATGTGAAGTTTGGCATTTCTTTAGTGTTTTAGTGAGAGAAAAAGATAGTTTAGTATAGCAAAGGAAATCTCCATTTCCTCTGGTATACTAAACTCCTTAGTAATAGGAAAAAATGGACTTTAAGTAACAGACGAAATGGATTTTAGTAACAGACGAAATGGACTTTAATAGCAGACGAAATTGACTTTAGTAGCAGACGAAATGGACTTTGGAAACAGTAGTAATGATTTGTTTGTCTTTAGGTCTAAAATTGATTTTTTTGCGAGTGGCGATAAGTTTATGAAGATAATGGGTGGAGGATAAAGTGGTCGTTTGTTTCATCGCTTGGAGGTGTGATGTCCTTCAGCGCCTCCGGTAGATCCTGCGAGCGACAGATGGTCAGCTGAGTTAAAGTTATCGACGCAAGAGACGGCGCCCGAACTCTCATTGGAGATCGGCGCGAGAAATAGACGGCCAATTGTACAGGATTTACGTCCACAAATACATGTGTGTAAGCTTTCTCACGTGCATTCGCGTGTGTAGCCCCGCGGAACTTGATGAGCCCGCGGCGTGGGAACATGCTTCACCCTGTTCGTCTGATTCCGCTGCTCGTCCTCCCTTCCAACGAGACTCCTGCTTCTCTCTTTTCAAATTTTTCTCTTTCTCTCACTCTCTACCGTTCCCTTATACTCATTGGCCCTTGAATGCGAAAACATTAAGTACCATTTCACTCTGGATCTTTTGCCCAACGTACATTAACAAGAGACGCAGAGAGAGAAAGAGAAAGATTTCACGATTTTTATCTCACAGCAAATTGCCGGCATTGTGCCCAAACTCAAAAGCAACCCATTCGAATAGTATAAAACTTCCCGGAATCTTAACGAATGTCCCTCGTATCGAAAAAAAGGACCAATTCCTCTTTCGGCGCACAAAAGAATAAAGAGTTTAAATTGAGGAATTTTTGAAAAGTACATTTTTTTATTCAAGTTATGTGTTACGTAGGATATGATTATAGAAGTCATGACCAACCTTCCTTTCAATTGATTACTGATGATTGAATATACGAAAGTGATTTTTATCCTTTTCCCAAACGTTGATTCCTATAGGTTGCACAAGATTCGCTTGAACAAGAAGTTGTTGCGGCAAATAATAAAGCCGTTTCGGTGTTTGCCTCGTGGGAAGATCTCACGGCTTACCTTCGACCTTCCGACCCAGTCCATTAACGGCGACCAGAACAACGTTAGGTCCCTGAACATTATCCGCGGAACCGACTCGCGTTTTCATCCGTTCTTCCTCGATAATTAAGCGATACACCAGCATTGCCAATCCAACGGGATCACGACTGTATATTCTCCTGTTTTTCCAAAGACTGCGCGCTGCTGCTGCCAGGTGCAGTAGTGTTGCGCATCTCTACCTTTGCGTGCAACCAAAGCGTATCTTTATTATCACTTTCAAACTTGCACCTCAAACGTGTCAGGCTAAGGTTCACTCTTCATTCCTTCAAGGGCTCTTCAAACGTTTCTTCATTTCTGAATTTTCTCAGATTTTTTGCTTTTAGTTATTCGTAAAATTTTTATGTCGAACTGATTAAAATTTCTTGTGATTATAGTTTTAATCGAAAACGAAAGTTAAAGAGTCGATTACAAAATGATAGTGATTAAAGAGTACAATGTTTATTTTAATTACAATGTTCTTTTCTTTTTTGTGAACATGTTTTTGTCGACTACAAATTTGAAATCAGTTTTTTGTTAATTAACGCGGGTGCATTTCAAAGGATGATTCATAGATTCAATGATAATTAGCATTCCTCATGAATAAATTCAAGTCAATATAATTGTGAAAGATCTAACTGTTTTTTTTCGCCTCTCCGACCCGTTCCGATGTTTCTTTTTTTTTCGAAGTTATATGGTATATATGTTAATCAGTCGAGGAAGTTGAGGGCTGATTAATTCACGTTTTCATTAGAAAATAGGTTCTCTCACGATAAAGAAGCAAAACTTAAGATTTATAGAAAGTGGGAATAATTAAGAAGACACCTAATGACTTAGCACACGTTATTATAATACTATTATTAACGCCATTTGAGAATTATATAATATAGAACTCAGTTAAAATTCTGAAATTTAGTAGAATAAATCAAAATTCTCTTTCTACCGTTATTTTTTATGCGGTAAATCAATTTTTAATTTGTTTTGAAACAGTTTTTCATTTTTTATAGTCTTTCTTTTAGTAAATTTTTGTTTAGTATTTTTGAAATATTTTTAGTAAATGAATCAAATTTATTCTTTAATTAAAGAATTATAGAAATTGTGTTATGGCAAGTGAATAGAATGTCGATTAAGTTTTCATTCAGGCACGAATAGACATATCGGATTCTATCTCGTGACGGATCTTTCATGCTTAGTCAAACTGCAGAATATGTGAATATGTAAGCTCGTGGTGATGGAGTGGATAAAAGAGTTGAAAGAGGGCAAAAAAGAGAGAGAAAGAGAGAGAGTGTGTGAGAGAGAAAGGGGGAGGGGACTAGAGGAGCAGGTATAGGTGTTAGGTTTCTTCGCCAAATTGGATACAGGTGAGCAAGGGGTCACGCATTGTTTTGATGATTAGTACGTCGTAATACCGACACTAATACGTGTTTTAATAATGCGCTCCACTGAAAGGGAATATTAACTTCCTGTTAGACATTTACGACAAGCTTGTGGAGCATCAAAGTATTATCCGCTAAGTTTCCCTCCTTCTGGTATTTACAGACTATCATCTCCTTGGTTTTTTTTATTTCTAAACGAAATCTTTCTGCCTCCTCTTAATTAACGACGAGGCAAAAATCAATCGGAGAAGTTATTACTTATTTAAAATTTTCTTTCTAAATTTTAAATCTAAGTATAACAGTATCCAATGTTTATTAGTGTGTTTCTTTCCTTATTTTGCACTTGTAAAAAGAATGTATAATGTATAATTCCTACGGGCATCAGACTGTTTCACGAAACGTTTGATTAGAACGTGATTGTTTGAAGACAAAATGTTTAACCGTTTTTCGATCAGAGAAAGATTGTGGGAACAGTTCTTGATGTATTTGGCCGGACAAAGAACGAAAATATGGAAGTTTTCTTCGAATCACAAGTAGCTTCAAGGTAGAAATTCAATTCTTTCCTTTTAAAAATAATTAATAATAATAATAATATAATATAATAATATATATTAATAATTATAATTAATAATTATAATAATAATAATAATAATAATAATAATAATTATAATTATAATTAATTATATATTAATATAATATTAATAATAATAATAGTACAAAATCTTTTAATTATAATCCAATAGAATATAGAAGCAAAAAATTATTCACAAAATCGATTGCGAAATAATTCCTTTGTAGAGGCAAATTGGTTAATTAATCAAAAAATCAGTTTCGAATGATTTATGTATAACCCCCGATGGAATTTTATTGTCAAATTTCCTTTCTTGGAGCTAATAATTATTTTCGAATTTCAATGTTAAAGCTTTTGTTGTGGTGAATCATTAAAATTTGTCTGCTGTCGAGAGTATAAAAAACCACGTTGCTAACGAAATGCAAAGTCACTGATGTCGATTGGACAAAGTTATAATGATATACGAGAATTCAAGAAGCGTCGAAAGAAGTGAAGAAAAAAGAAATTTCTACTGTCGATCAGGAGTGGTCCATAACGTTGAATGACTTGAACCAAACAAGTACCCAATTTTCTAAAGAGCATAACAACTATACTGGTCCTGGATAATTGGTCAATTACATCGTTTATTTAGTTTCATGTCTACATGTCTCTTCTGCTTTAATATTCGCGAGAAATTATGCGTATTTTTTCGTTTTTGATATGCACTCGGATATTCTCAAAATTAGAGGCATGAGTTCTTTTTGGCAAATTTTCCATTCTAGAGAAATGAATAATTCTAAATTATTCTAATGAATACATTCGGAAGACTGATTTCCAAATCGAATTTTGAAATTAGAGGTATTGAGATTAGGAATAATTAAATTTTTGATGAAGAATGTAAAATTAGTGTTGAGAGAGTGAGTGGATTAAAATAGAGTTGAAGTTGCGAAATTCGTGACTTGGCGAGATGCTGGGGGTGAATTTTAATATAATTATGTCAATGTAATGTGACTCGTTGGTACAGTTGACGTCACGATTGTCACTGTTTTTTGCTCGTTGGCTCGTTAGCGGATTAGTTTTCTTTCTACGAACTCTGATGAGTCCTTCTTGGATTCTCTTCATTCTGGCTTCTCACTCTTTCACTGTCATTCCATTGGGTCTTTGTTTTAGCTCCAGATAGCAGACGTGTCAACTCATTGCACTCTTCTTTGGTTCTTTTTTTACCTCCTCTCTCTCTTTCTACCTTTTCTCTTTTCGTTTTCTCGCGCCGGAAGTTTAACTTTGAAATTGTCGAGCTTTTTCCACGACATCCTTGTCGGGATCTTAAGTACTTTATAAGCCTCACTTTCAAGAAAGCCTTCCGCAATTAAATCGTACGTAAGTACAGGTGTCTCACCTGGCTCGTATAACAATATATCACCTATGTTGAGACAGAGGATAATCCTTCATGCTGCTTCTTCTATTACTCGATTGCCACCTTCAGCCATCGTTATATTTCATATGGTGAATACAAGAAGATAGAGTTGAATTTACTTTTTTTTTTGGAATGCTTCTTGGGGAATTTAATTTTCCCTTTTTTTATCGATATAAATAGAAAGCATTATTCATTTGTGATGTGAGGTAAAAAGCAAGTCTTATAGGTTATGATTTGTTTTAAGTGAAAATAAAAGAGGTTTAACTGTCGATAATTTTTCTTTTTCGCATATTGATTTCTTTATTTTCAGTTGAAATTATTCAAAATTGAAAAAAGTATTATTTATGTTCAGTAGAAGAAAATATTGAAAATGCATGAAGTGGGTTAACTATTGATAATTTCAAATATATTTTCAGTTGAGTGAAAGTTATCAAAAGATTATTTATGTTCAGTAGAAGAAAATATGAAATACAAAGAGTCGAGTTTTGTTTAAATCGTGAAACATTAAATTTTGAAATTAAATTCAAAATAAAATTGTTGAGAGAGAAATTTTTTTCTTCGTCGTCATTATATGTGTTCTGTTTGAAGGCAAGTTTACAACTTCATCGATTCCTTTTGATCGTGTTACCAGATGTCAGAGGGAAAAATTAACGATCTATACGACTCTCGTGCACTGTGCGTGCAGTTTAACTGATATTATTTGTGGTATGAACAATCACGCTCGTATACGTGCAACCACGCGAGAGTCAAGCACGATCTTAAATGAAATGTAAGAAACTGAACATAAAACTAACCTCCCATTGAGTTTCGAGTGCAACTAAAAATGGGAATTTTTCATTTAGCTGTTAGGTTTTTCTATTTTAGAGTTGAGAGAGTTGACAGACAAGAATTTAATGAATATTTTTCTGTTTTTTTTTGCTTTCAGACGTGGTTCTTCACTGACAGGGATGATGCGTACTTTCAAAACGAAACGAGTGAGTATATCTATTACAATAATAATAAATAAGAAAATTGAATTTTTTTTAGATATTAATATTCTAGAATTGGGTGAAGTATTCTTAAAACAAATGTCTTCGTGAAAAAGTGTGACATGAAAACTCTAGAAGCTTTTTTAAGTTCACGTTCTCTAACCGAGCTTTTAAATTTTCTTCTTTCTAAGTCACTAAGATTCATTAAGGCCACATGTTAAGAAACTCATTTTTAATGAAGGCTTCTTAAGGTAAATGAAATATTTGGCTCACGATCTAGATTTCTGTAAATCACGGTTCTCATTTCGCTTGGCGAGAGAAAAAGGGAAGAGGTTGAGTGGAAAGCTGAAAGGCTCGTAAATCATTCTGAAACTTTACTTACGCCTCTTAACGTAAGTAAATCAGCAGCCACTGGGGTTCGATGCTAATGATTTTTAGAAGCCCCACTTCCGGCTTTCCTCATTGAACCATCCACATCAATTTTAGTTTAAGCGGAACATTGTCTATTCTAATGGACCCAATTCGCGCAAAGTGCTTTTATTTAAATTAAATCAATGGAAAATTAAATTTTTTTTTTTTATTAGGAAAATTTATTTCCTTTTTATCTTTAGGAATTTGTAAATTATTTTTTTTCAACTTAGGATTTTATTGAAACTTTAAAGAACGTAATTGAATAGAAAGTAGATTTCGTATAATTAGTGTTTGGAGGTATTTAGAAATTAAATTAAATTGAAAAATATAGAAATGAGGGGAAGCTGCGCGAAGATTATTTCATGAAAAAGATTCTCAGAGATGTTTAAAAACGAAAGCCGATAAAATGCAGAAGAGACGGCGTTCGGGCTGGGTTGTATAAGCTCCTCGTAAATAAAAACGTCTCGCTCACAGCAATTAAGGTCCGCGCTTATATACCTTTACAGAAAGCCTACCGAACGACCTAGACACTTTGAAATTTTTGTGTTCTACCAAGGTAATTCGACATCCCAGTTAACGTTGTGACGGGAATAATTAAATACAAGGGTTCACGATATTATCCCAGCTGTCCTTTAGAGTTTCAAAAAAAAAAAAAGAAAAAAAAGAAGAAGAAGTAGAAGAGAAAGAAGACTTTGATATCGAGGGATCTCTTCATTGATTTTATCGGACATGGCCCGAGCAGATTCTCAGGCGACGACAGGTCATTAATTAATGAGTGAGAAACACCGGGTCGACATTAAACGCTGTGACTCAGAATAAAATGTCATCTTATCGAATTCTTCACTTGGATTTAATTATTTTAATTACTTTATTGGGAAGATTTATTATTCCTTTTGAGGACATTTTTCTCCGAATGTGTCGCTCTGTAAAAACTTTCGGTAGTTTCTCCGATAACATGAATGGAAATTTTCCCGAAATTTGGAAGAAGGTTCTTCGAATTTTCTAATAGGGAATATTCCTTATTTTTCGGAAAAGCTACTGAAGATTTTTTTTTCCTAAGAGAAATGGGATCAATTTTTAATTAGAGTTAAATTTGTCTACTACTAGAAAAGACGAGAAACAGACTGAAAATTACTTTTGTTGAAATACAAAATGCAATAATTTGTGTTTCGTGAGAGGAAAGAAAATTGTCGATTCCGATATAAGAGAAAAATGATATTATGGCATTTAAAGAACAGAAATCGAAATTATCTGTAAAATACACCACAAAGGGAATCAAAACTCTGATTTTCGGATGATTAAGTTCATATTGTTGAGTCTTGCGCAAGATAATCCGCAGACAGTCTGGAGAACAAGAAAGGTGAAATTACAGACATCAGAGTTACTGGCAGACAACGTGAAAATAAAAAGATTGGAGTATAGAATCGAGTAAAAGAGAGGAAAAAAGAATAACATTATAAGAAAAAAAAAGGAGGGAAAAAATAAATTGAGAGAGAGAAAAAAAATTGCTGAGAATTGAAAAAGCGTGATGTGCCAATTATAAAAGGATTAAAAAGAACTTTCTTCAGAACCAGGGATTGAGATGGGTGCAGAGAGGGGGGGGGGTGAGTGGATGGGGGTAAAAAGAAAGATAGATGGATGATAAAAGAAGGATAGGGGGGCGCACGCGAACCCTCGGGCTATGCCCGACATTTGACCTCAACACGCGCACTGCACCGGTTTACTTCGAGACCTTTTCCTTCTTCAGCTTCTGCCTCTCTTCTCTCTCACCTTTATTTTATGTTTCTTCTTTATCATTTTTGTCCCTTTGCTTAAAGACTTTCTCTTTTCTTTAATTATGCGGTTAATTCTGTAATTTTTAATTTATTTCCATTGTCATTTTGCTTGGTACTTTTTCTCTTTCGGAAATTATCGGGGTTCTTTTGCTTTTTTTCTCTCTTTCGAAAATTATTGTCACGTTCTTTTGCTTCTTAGTTTTTCTCTCGAAAAAATTATTCATTTACCGTTGCAATTACAGGAGTCGTCTTAATTGTTAATTACTTTCTTAAAATTTGTTTTAAAGTTCTAACGAATTTTTAAAAGTAGGTCTTAATTTCGTCACCTTAATTGGTAATTCTTATTAACAATATAATTTTTTATTTGTTCATTCTTATTAACAATTAGAATTATAAATCATTTCTTATTTATTAATTTTGATTAACAATAAGAATTATAAATAATTCCTTATTTGTTTTGATAAACAAAAAAATAAGTAATTCTTATTTTGGATAAGAGTGATTCTCTTTGGATAATTGATGATTCAATTAAGATTTCGCAGTGTGCATGGTTGCGGTTGGAGAATAATTTTGATGTTGTACTGCGGGTCTGAAATAGTTGACGATTAAAAAATTCATTCGTTAATTCAACTCTATTATGAAACAGTTAATTGTGTGAGCATTTGGAAAATTTATTTTTAAGCTGAATTGGATTTAACATTTAGCATTAACATTAGAAAGTAATTAAGGTTATTTTCATTTGTGAAAATGGTCTGCAAATTGTTTTGAGGATTAAGTTATTTTTAAATTGCTCGTTGCATATGGAAGTATTTTTAACTAAATTATTATTTCAATTAAGTAATAATAATTTTTTAATTTTGCTACCTTATAGACTTTTCCCTGATTTTCAGACAAAATTTTTACTTTTTCCCTGATCCTAAAAGAACATTCGAATCCACTCTAAAAATGATTAGATACTGAAAATAATGTTCTATTATATTTATTTACGAATTTCCATAAATTATAAAATTATTCAAAAACACCAATAACTTCATTTTAAAATAAATATTTAATCTAAATCATTAACTAAGATTTTTGTGATTTTGAATTCAAACCTTTTAAAATTCAATAACTTGTAAAAATATTATTATAAAACATGAATAAAGCGAACACTCCGAGACTTCGACTCGGTGCGATCGCTTTCTTCATGTTTTATAATAATTAAAGGTGACCGAATGATAAAATCATTATTTCATATTATAATATAAAAATATTGTTACTGAAAGTTCTTTAAAATTATTTTCAATATTTCAATTTAATTATTATTTTCTAGAATTTTTAACTAAAATCAATTATTTGATCAATTATTTAAATCAATTATTTTCAATCATTTTTCGAAAAGTTCTTTTAAGAATTTTTAAACTCATTTGTTTACAATTGAATTTTACGAATTTTCGATTAGTTCCACAGAATTTTTAATTAAAAGTATGAAAAATTCAAATTTTCAAACATTTTAATTTGAAACTTTTACAAAATTAAATTATTTCTAAAAATTGCAATTATTGGTAACTTCTCCAAAATTCAATTTTATCTAAAACTTAAACTGAAATTAATTTTTAATTCAATTTTTATTAGAAAATGCTACGAGAATTCAATTATTTTAATACAAACATAGATAATTTATTGAATAATTGAAAAACAATAAATTTAATTCTGATACATAATTATATAAAAAATTTTTTAAATAATTGAATTCTTTCGATGAATTTCAATAACATTTTTAAGAATAATTACATTTTTCGAGGAATTCGATTAAAATTGAATTAAAAATAATTGAATTATTGCGAAGAATTTTATAAAAAAGTTTCAAACAATTGATTTTTTTGAAAAAATCTATGCAAATGTTGTATGCACTTTGTTGTAATGAATATTAATGTTTATGAAAATAATTGAAATTTTGCCATAAATTTTATTAAAATTTTTGAAAGTAATTCAATTTTATTACTTTTGAAAATAATTGAATTCTTGTAATGAATATTGTTATTTATGAAAACAATTGAAATTTCTAATGAATTTTATTAAACTTCCTAAAAAGAATTGAATTTTGACGCAGAATTTTGCTATTCATTTATAAAGATAATTTAAATGTTGACGAGAATGTTTTTTGAAAATTTTTGAAAATAATTTAATTTCTGTAAAGATTTTTAATAATTTGGAAAATAATTGAATTCTTGTAATGAATATTGTTGTTAATGAAAATAATTGAAATTTTGCCATGAATTTTATTAACATTTTTGATAATAATTGAATTTTATTACTTTTGAAAATAATTGAATTCTTGTAATGAATATTTTATTTATGAAAACAATTGAAATTTCCAATGAATTTTATTAAATTTCCTGAAAATAATTGAATTTTGTCAAAGACTTTTGCTATTCACTCATGAAGATAATTGAAATGTTGACAAAAATTTTTTTGTTTTAAATTTTTGAAAATAATTGCATTTTTTTAAAGATTTTTAATAATTTGGAAAATAATTGAATTTTTGTAATGAATATTGTTATTTAAAAAAATAATTGAATTTCTGTAAAGAATTTTAATAATTTTGAAAATAATTGAATTCTTGCAGTGAATATTGTTATTTAAAAAAATAATTGAATTTCTGTAAAGAATTTTAATATTTATTAAGATAATTGAATTCTTTCAAAGAATTGCGTTAAAATTTTTAAAATTAAAACCAATTTCAACAGAATTGAAATTAAAATGTTTCAAAAAAATACTTCATTAAATGATTTATAAGTAATAATTTTATGTCAGTTCTTCAATAAAATAAAGCTATTTAAAATAAATTATTGTCAGAAATAGAAAAAATGTAAGGTTCTTTTTAGAATTCGTGGTAATTTCATAGTTTATGAGGCAGACAAAAAGACACAAAAATTAAGAATTTTCTTATAAATTCTAAACATTAAATTTTTTCCAGTACTTTTGATAAAAATTCCTGACTTTTTCCTGATTTCCAAGACTTTTCACTGAATTCCCTGATTTCCCTGAACTGTGGCAACGCTGTAAGAAGAGTTGTAGGAGTTAGGCTAAAGAAGTGTGGGGGTAAAGGCAAAAAGTGAAGTAATTAAGAGTAAAGCAGGTTGAGATGAGAGAGGGCACAAAACCGAATTGGTGTTAAGTACCAAAGAAATTAAAGTAGAATTAGTAGACTTAAGAAAAAGACAGCAATGAAGAAAAAGAAGAAAAAGTCAGTAATGAAGAAAAAAAATTAGTAACGAGAAGAGAAGAAATAATTAACTATAGAGCAGAGAGAGTGAAAAAGGAATGGAAATATCGTGATTAGAGTTTGACGCATAGAACCTTAGAAGGGAAAGGAATTTAGAAGAAAAAGAAAAAGACTCGTAGGATGAGAGCAAAAGTTCAACTCAAAGGTGAAAGTTAAAGGGAAGAGGAGAATAAGAATGCGAAGACCAAACACTTGAGAGGGTAAGAAATGTTAGAAAAAAAAGTGCTGATTAATTATTTTTGTAATTACTTGCAGCACCTGACTTTCAGAGACTGTAGAAAAATAAAATAAAGCGGCGCGTGAGCGAGCGAGCGAGCGCATTTTCTGTAATCGTGTGAAAGCATGAGGTCCTCCATTCCTGCAAGGTGGCGCGAATTTAGATCGTAATCCTTTTGCTTTGCTTGGGACGGGACGGGACGCGAATTAATTAGAGTGAACTTATGGTGTTTGCCCCCCGAGAGTGCGACTCTCGGGGAATGTTTATTATTAACCTCTCTCCCTTAATTAATTGAGACTCATCGTGTTTTTCAGACGGTCATATGATCAACACTAAGTGCTCGTCGTCACACAACAGGAGGGCGTTGTGCTGCAAGATGTCCGTGGAGTTCGACAGGTTTCTCGACAGCGGCAAAAAGTGAGTAATTCAATCAATTAACATATGCATGAAAATTAATGTTAATTAGCGGAACTTTAGTCAAAAGAGAGTCCTCTTGGGTATATCATCTTGAAAAAAGAAGAAGAGGAAAAAAAAATGAAATATTAATATCATATTTTCGACACAGTATATTGATTTATGAAATATGCTCACACAAAATTTTTACGATCGCGTCATATTTGACGAGAAAGCTACAAATGGCACTCAACGGCTTACTGAAAAATTATTTTTTTTTGCTTCAGGGTGCTAAGAGCAACGGTATATTTATAAATCGAATAATTTTTTTTCTCTTAGTTTAAGGCTCGAAAAAAATTATTATCATACTTAATATGAATTATGAGATGGTGGAGATATTTTTAGTTCAGTGATAATTTATACTGGCAAACTTTGTTTCTTTGCTTCCTATTTTCTTTTTCTTTCTCTTCTTTAATTTTTGTTCTTGTTTTTGTCTCTTTATACCCTTTTTTCATTTTGTTTCTTCTTGTCTTTTTATTAAATTTTTTTTCAACTCTTTTTCGTCGCTGGAAAAGTTAAAGGATTTAAAAGGAATTCAATTATACTTATGGAAATGAACCAATTAAATGGAAAGGGAAAGAACTTGAAACGCGTATAATGATACAAGGAAAACATTTCGAGAATTTCGATTATGAAAGTTTCTTTTGGTATAAAAAGTTATTAAACTCGAATTTTCAAGCTGCTCGAGAAAATACTGTCTTTATTTCGAAGTTAACTATGCATTGCTTTTACGTGCTATAATAAAAACATGAAAAGAAGGGAACTTTTCGTGGCATTTGCTTAATAGGTTGGCAGTTAAAGAGTTAACGGACCATTCCAAGTTTCTGGCTTCGTAATAGCGTATTTTTTTTGAGATCGTATTGCTCGACGAGTAACTCGAGAGCCCTTTAAGCCATCAGAATCAGGACCGAGTTAAATGAAATTCTTTCAACGTGCAAGAATTTCTTTAAATTAAAAACAAACATTTCACTGTAAACACGATCATTATTGTGATAAATTGATCTGTGTATTTATTTATTATTTTATTTGTATTATATTAGTTGAATAATTCAAATTTATTTAAAGTTCGTAACGGATTAATGGGGAGATTTATTAAAAGGAAGAGAAATAAATGAACTCGAATGAATTTAAATTATGTATCAATATATTTATAATGTTTTAAATTTATTTTCACTTGAGATTTTATACATTAAATTAATTGAGTAATTAAATTAAATGAATAATCGAAGATGGGGAAAGGGAGATTATAACCGTAATTAAATTCTTTTTACGTTAAGTAAATCGGTGTGTATTTCGTTTCGATCTTCCCGGTATGATTTCATTCGGTTTCCGTATTATTTTATTTTTTGAAAGTGCAAAAAAAAGGTTATTAAAATATTATTGTACTGAAATATAACACTGAAATGAAGTTTCCTAATTATTTCCATAAGAAATTGGATAATAATTTTCGATGTTCTTTTATTTGTTCGGTTTGTTCAAAGTTTAGAGATTTTTCATTTGCGTGTGGATTATATTTTTTGGATGATGACTCATAAGAACAGTTTTTTTTAGATAAAATGTTAGTCATGAAAAATTGTTTATGATAACAAACTTTAAATATAAAGGGTCGCCGCACAAGTCAGGGAATTCAGGGAATAGTCAGGGAAATTAGAATTGGTTAGGGAAATCAGGGAAAAGTCATGAAATTTTATTAGAAGTACTGGAAAAAATTAAATTTATGGAATTTATAAGAACATTCTTAATTTTGGTATTTTTTTTTTGTTTGCCTCATAAACTATGAAATTGTCAAGAATTTTAATACAAACCCTTCAATTTTTTCTATTTCTGACAAAAATTTCTTTTTAAATAACTTAATTCTTGAAGGACTATCATAAAATTATTACTTAGAAATTATTTAATGAATAATTTTACTCAAAAGTTTCAAAATTAATTGGATTTCAAAAGAGTTGCGTTTATAATTTTTATAAATAGATGAACTACAAAGGTTTTAATTTGAAATTTTTAAAAATATCAATTTTTAATGAATTTAAATAGAAATTTTATAAACAACTGATTATAGGAATTCTATTATTTAAACAAAATTTTAATAAAAATTTCACAGGAATTCAAATACATACTAATTTTTTATATAATTATTCGCACCAATTCAATAATTTTTAATTTTTTAATGAAGTTTCTCCAAAGAATTCAAATATATTCAGAGAATTGAAAAAAATTTAAAATAGTTCTGAGAAATCCAATTATTTCGAAAAATTTAAATAAAATTATTTTAGAAATTCTATTATTTAAAAAAAATGTTGACAAAATTCTTTACAAGATTTAGTTAATAAACTTGCAATTTTAATAAAATTTTCCTATACAATTCAATTATTTTCAATACAATTCTTTTTAAGAATTCAATTATTTTCCCAAATAATACATTTTTTTATGAAAATTCAATTATTTAAAAATAATTTGAATAAAATTCTGCTCTAAAAATCAATTATTTATATATAAATAACAAAATTTTCCTTGAGAATTCAATTATTTAAAAAAATTTTGATAAAATGCTTTATAAATTTAAAAAATTATAATAAAATTGGTCGTAGAGTTAAATTATTTTCGTAAAATATAACATTCTTCCTAGAAATACAATTATAGTCAAAAATATTTGTAACAATCTTTGAAAGAATTCAATTATTTTCATAAAAAATAAAACTCTTCAAAGCAATTCAATTATTTAAGAAATTTTAATAAAATTCTTCCCAAGAATTCAATTCTTTTCAAAAATAAACATTTTCACAGGAATTCAATTATTTAAAAAAGAATTTTTTTTAATTCTTTGTCAGATTTTAATTATTTTTATTTTTTTAATGAAATTTCTCAATGGAATTTAATTATTTTCAAAAAGTTTTAAAAAATTCTGAGAAATTCAATTATTTAAAAAAAATTTGACTAAAATTCTTCACAAGAAATTAATTATTTTCGTGAATAATAATATTTTTCTCCGGAATTCAATTATTTTTAGAAATAAAATTCTTTACGGGAATTCAATTTTATTTATTATACAATTTTAAATATAATGATAGAAAATTGTATTTATTCTTAAATTTTTTTTAAATTCACCGAAAGAAGTGAATTATTTTTTAAAATTTTGATAAAATTCTTCATAAAAATTCAATTTTAAGAAATATTCAATTATTGAATAAATTATTTATTTTGTACGTAAATAATTGAATTCTCGAAAAATTTTCTAATAAAAATTATTGATGTTCTTCAGGGTCAGGGAAAATAAGTATTTGCTAAAATAAAATTTATTTCTAAAGTTAATTTTTGTATAAAAATTTTTTAAATTTTCTTCGAACGTTTAATTTGGTATTAAAGATTGTTAATTCCAGAGTAAATTTTACTACCTCTGAAGTAATTTAAAAAAATTCTTTTAAGAACTTTTTCTTTGGAAACAGTAGAGTTCTGGTAATTATTTTTAATAGCAAATTTTGCTATCTTTTTTGAGGAAATTTGACTAATTTTGGTTGAAATTTATTTCGAATATAGTAAAGTCCATGAAATTTAGTAAAAAAAAGTAGCGTCTTAATATTAACTTCCAATTATAATAATTAATAGAAAATGTATAGTCAAAGCATTTCTTCTGTATCGAGATATATTTTATTATGGCAAACATTGCGCGCACAGGTAAATAAAAGGGAGAGTAAACTAACAAAATTAAGTTTAAGGTTTATCTTATTGCGAGATTGGTCTCCATAAAATGTTAGTGCGTTTCGAATGCAGCGAGAAAGATCGTTGGACGGAGGCAAAAAAGAATCTCTCTCTCTCTCTCTCTCTCTCTGTATTTTTCAACTCTTATTGGTCGTCTGGTTGCAAGTGACTTGCGGCGGGCTCGTTAATTAAGGATTAGCTGGTTAATTAGCATGAACGTTTTCATCCTTTGCTCTTATATGTGTCCCCTTTCCCTTTTTCTTGTCCCTCTCTCGTTTTAACGTGTCCCTTTTACTGCTGTATGTTGTCTGTGTGCGCTCTTTTGCGGCAACAGGTTGATCTCGTCCTTGCAAAGGCAATTTATGTTTCCTTGCTTCCATAGGTCCTTTTCGTGCTAACGAACCGAGTAGACCGTTTAATTTCTCCTTCTGTGTGTTTACGTCGGTTTCACTCTTTGACGAGCATTCATTTTCCATTATATTATTATTATTATTTTCTCTGTAACAAATTTTCTTTGCTTTGCATGTTTGGACATAGTTTTAATAGTATAAAACACTCGTGGTAATTAGAATTTACGGAAACGTATTTTTAATTTTCCTCACGAGAAAATTGGGAATTAGATATTTTTCTTTTTGCTTCTTCATGAGAATATTTTTTTTTCCTTCTTGGAAAAAATTATTGTCCTTTCTAAATGAAAAGGATTTCGGTTGTAAATTTTTGAAATTCGTATTTCTTTATTTTATTTAGTTTTTGATTCGCATTTTATCTCGTCTTATTTATTCAATCAATTACATTAAAGAGCCAAAAGAAATAAAAATACCGTAACTTTTTATATCAGGAATTTTAATTAATTAGTGAAGTGAATTTTGATAATTGAATGACTTTGTTAATAAATTGAATGCAAATTGGTAATCGGAACTTTATGTAATAATTTGAGAGAAATATTTGAATTCGTTTAAGTAACACGATACATTATTTTTATATTCTCAAAATGAAAGAATATTCCGGGAAAAAATCCTATGCGATTGAAATTCAAAAATTCTTCTAAAAAAATTAATTAAAAGATTAATTATACAAAAATTAATTCATTAAAAAAATGAGTTAATTTAACTATAAATATTGTTGTAAAAAAGCCTGGTAAATTAAAATTATTTATTTGAGATTTTTATTTGGCAGAAAGAATTTTTATTGAAAGATTGAAACGAAATTAATTTTTTAAAAGATTTTTATAGTATACACTTTTTTGTTTTTTTTTGTCTAAGTGATAC